GGGGATGGTAGGGGGAAAACAATGGAGGGGCTAACAATGTTCAAGAGGAAGTGTACTTATTACCTCACTCACTCATGTAACTGTAACCCTCTGTATAGTATCTTTACAATAAAAAATAAAAAAATAAAATAAAAAAAGAAATGTAAAAAAAAAAAAACAGCAACAAAACTCATGTGTTGAAAGCCTAGCCTATAGGTCGTGGTAGTAATGAGAGGTGCCTGGATTCTGAGGGCTCTGATCTCGTCAAAGGATTAATTACTTGCTAGATTCATCCTCATATGACATGACTGGGAAGTGAAGCCTAGATGAATTGTGCCTCTTCACTTCCTGACTGCTATGACAAGAGCAGCTCTCCTTGCCATGCCCACTCTCATGACATTTCTGTCTTACCACAAGTCTAAAGCAACAGAGACAGACAGCCATGAACTAAATCCCCTAAAATCCTCAGCTAAACAAATCTGCATTTGTTACAGCTTCTCATCATTGTGACAAAATACCTGTAAGAAACAGCATAAGGAAGAAGAACTTATCTTGGCTTACAGCTTCATAGATTTCAGTCCATAGGCTTTGGCTCTGCTAATGTGGGCCCATAGTGAAATGGAACATCATGGCGGCAGGAACGGGTGAAGGAGGCAGGAGCTGTTCACCTCATGGCAGACAGGAAGAAAAAACAATAGCGAGGAACCCCAAACTAGGTATATAACCTTCAAAGACTTATCTCCAGTGACCCACCCTCTCTATCTTGGTCCCAAAGTTTCTACCACCTCTCCAACTAGTGGCATCATCTGGAGAACCAAGCATTCAACACATGAGCCTGCAGAGACATTTCATATGTGAATCATAGCAAAATCCTTCCTCCTTTAAATGTCTTCAGTACTTTGCCACTACGAGAAAAAGAGTAACACACCAGTGCTAACGTTTGAGTTATTCTTTGTTTGTTTTCTGCAACTATTAGAAAAGCAGGTACAAACATTTCTGCATGGGCTTTTTGTGTGTGTGTGGGGGGGATATGTTCATATTTCTTATGAGTAAATACCTAGGAGGGAGACATCTGGGTATTTGGTAAGCACACAACTGATTTTAGAAGTGCATATTTATTAAGGTTTGATTTCTCTTGTCCTTTGACCTCTTCTTTTATTTCCTTTTACCTTCCCACCCCCATCTTCATCTTCCTTATCTGAACAGGATCCTTTGTACATCATTTCAAACACATTTTGCTCCTATACTCAATTGCTTGACCAACTACTCTGCTCAAAATCTCACTACCTGGATAAACCCAACTATCCCTATTCTTTCTTCCTATTGTAGACCAGCTTTATGTAGTTGGAGAAAAACCATTTCATGTACAGGTTGCTGTGTCGTAAATTGGTAGTCTCTAACTTCAGAGGGGCTCATCACTTTGTGGGAAAATATTGCTGCATTTTTACTACTCAGCTTAGAAGCTCCCTAACAGCTGTTTCCACCAAACCTGCTTAATCAAGGTTTCAGTAAAGAATCCTTCAGACTTCAGTAAATAATCTCATAGATGGTCAGTCACCTATCTTCTTGCATCTATGTCCTTCCTTGCATCCATACCTTCCTTGCCACTTTTCCATCCTTACAAGGACCAATGGAGCTCCCTCTGCCTGTAGTAGTAGGGTTTGAACTCAGGAACTCACACTTGCTAGGCTGGTGCTCTACTATTTGAGTCATGACCCCAGCCTTGCTTTTGTGCTAGTGATTTTTGGAAATGGAATCTAGCAATTTTTTTCTGCCTAGACTAGTGTCCAACCATGATCCTCCAGCCTTCAGCCTCCAGAGTAGCTAGGATTACAGGTGTGAGCCTCCAGTGCTGCCTGCTTCTGCCTCATTAGGGTTTGTATGTCCATCTGTCTTTCCTAAAAGTTTTTAGAGTCTTCACTTTGCAGAGTGCTCATTTGTTTTGTATCTTTATCTCCTTTCTCTCTAATGAATAATTGACACTTCTTTATAGATAACTTACTTCTGTTTCTTTCCTTTTTCTTTTGGGAATGCCTTCGGGGCTCTACACAGCCAGGCAGGAAGGTTATTACTTTTTTTCAGGATATGGCCACCTAGAGGACATCATGGCTTTCCTCAGATCTTTGGTATCCCAGCTAAGCTAGGGAAATGAGAACTTGGTGTTCTTGAAGCAGCCCAGGCCTTTAGAGCAAAGGGCCTCCAGACAAGACTCTCAGGGTCCTAAAGAGGTATCTCAAGGTCTACCTTGGGTAGAGGAAGCCTAGATTTCACTCAGGAGTATCCTTTTCTCATTTGTACAATTGTACTAGAGTGTAGCATAAACAGCAACCACTATATATATATATATGTGTGTGTATATATATATGTTTATATATATGGCCTTGTGTTGTCTAGGCTGATATTACTTGAATCCATGATCCTGCTGTCCCAGTCTACTAAGTAGCTTGGGAGTATAAGCATATACCATCACACTCACATTCACATCCAGATAGCAACAATTTTTAAATACTTGTCCTAGACTCTTGACTGGAGTCCTAGCCTTCTCTCTCCCCACTAGAGACAAAGGAAGAACATGGTTTTTCCTTCTAAAACTCACTTCTATCCAGAGCTGGTCAGCTGCCAATTTACTAGATGATTGATCTTGGGTAAGTCTCTTGCCTGCATTGTGTCTTCTGTAAAACAGAAGGTGGAGAAGTGTGGTACGCAGAACCTTTGCTCTCTAGTTTTCTTAAAGTGGAGTGGTCCCAGAGGGAAGGCAGGAAAGTCATTCTTTCCTTGACATACCACTCTTCCTCCTCCTCTACTTATTCCTCCTCTAACTCCTCTTCCTCTTCTCTATCTCCCCCAACCCCAGTGCTGGGGATCAAAGCCAAGTCCTACTACAAGCTACGCAAGTACACTACCTTTGAACCTTGTCCTGACACACTTCAATCACATCCTATTGGCTCAGGTAACCTATGTTCAAAGAAGAAAAATATCGATACTCCCTCTCATAGGAAACATATCAACATTACATGGTAAGAAGAACTTATGAGACATGATACACACACACACACACACACACTTATTTGCATATTTATTTATTTTTGTTGGTTGTGGGGCTTAAACTCAGGGCCTGGGTACTTTCCCTGAGCCACTTCTAGTTTTCTGGTGGTTAATGGGAGATAAGATTCTCACAGACTTGGGGCTGGGAAGGTAGCTCAGTGGTAGAGTGCTTGCCTTGCATGCATGAAGCCCTGGGTTCGATTCCTCAGCACCACATAAGCAAAGAGAAAAAAAGCCGGAAGTGGCGTTGTGGCTTAAGTGGTAGAGCGCTAGCCTTGAGCTGAAGAGCTGAGGGACAGTGCCCAGGCCCAGAGTTCAGGCCCCACGACCGGACCCCCCCCCCAAAAAAAAAGAAAAGAAAAGAAAAAGATTCTCACAGACTTTCCTGCCCTGGCTGGCTTCAAACTGTGATCCTCAGATCTCAGCCTCTTAAGTAGGTAGGATTACAGATGTGAGCCACTAGTGCCCAGCTAAGACAGGATATATATTGGCGTGGCTTATCTTTACAAAATGTAATCCTCCATTTGTGTTCTTTTGAACTTTTCGTTGTTTCTACACATCAATAATTGCAATAAATCTCCAAGTCCTAATATTACCATCTTTTCATATTGTGAATCTTGCTCCTATTATCACTCATATCACCATTATTAACCTAGGTGATTGCATCAATCTCCCAACAAAATCTTCAGCCTTCCATCTTTCCAATTCTTCATATGGAAGCCAGAAGCTCACAGCCCACTCATGTATTCACAATAATGCTAATCTTCAAGATTTACCAGACTGCTTATATATGAAGCTAATTGATTTGCACTTTCCTGTTAACTTACTGATGCACAACCCATCAATCTTTACCATGATTGTTGATTTAAGTCACAAGTTGCGGTTGGGCTATGAGTTCCCACAGATGGCATACTCTCTGGTAATATCATTTACTTACGTGATATTTCAACTAAGTGCACTATTTCTTAAAGTATAGTCCAGGGGACACCTGTAACAGATGGGCAAGAAGTTCTCAAAATTCACTTTGGAAGAAAGAGTACTATATGATTCTAAGAGTTAATGAGCTAATTTCTTTCATGTTCTCTACCTTCTCTAATGTCTCCCCATTATCCCTCCCATCTTTTTTTTTTTTTTTTTGGTCGGTCGTGGGACTTGAACTCTGGGCCTGGGTGCTGTCCCTCAGCTCTTCAGCTCAAGGCGAGTACTCTACCACTTGAGCTACAGCACCACTTCCGGTTTTCTGGTGGTTTATTGGAGATAGGAGTCTCACGGTCTCTCCTGCCCGGGCTGGCTTTGAACCGTGATCCTCAGATCTCAGCCTCCTGAGTAGCTAGGATTACAGGCGTGAGCCACCAGCGCCCGATCCCTCCCATCTTTAGCCAGCCAACTTTGTGTGGTGTGGATGGTGGTAGAAGGTACAGCAGAATAACGTGCACTCAGTCTGGAGGCTGGGGCAACCCTGTTTCCTCACTCCCCTTGTTGCCTGTAAGATGAACACAGTAGTTCATTTACATGAGCGTGCTCTGATCTTTCAAGGTCTCAGGGACTTGATTCACTTTGTCCCCTGACTAGTCTTTCCCATCTCCATCTCTCCAAGAGTCACCTCAGTATTAGATGATAAATCTCATTATTAGATGAACAATCATTCTGAAGTTCATCATCGCAAATACCATTCCTATGCATAACAAATATCCATTGAGCAACTTCTGCAAACACTACTACAGATAATGTGCAGAGCCTTGGAAACACAATATGGAGCAACCTGGACAAAAATATTCATGTGGAATTTATATTCTGATGGAGAAGCTAGAACAGTCAGTAACTAACAAGCAAGAAGATGATATGGTATGTTAGAAGCACTAACAGGAGTAATGTGGATTCCCTGTAGTCAGGTGGGTGGGGGGGAGAGTTGTTGAGATCTGAAGGGGTTGGGACCCTGGGGACTGCTAGAGAAGGAACACAGCAGCCAGGCAGCTTAGTGAAATGGGGTAAGGCTATCATGAATGTAACAGGGAAGTGTGGGAGAGTTCATGGAGATGATGGGTGACCAGATTTCCTCAGGCCTTGTAAGCCTCCAGAAAAAGACAAAAAAACTCAGGCCAGGTACTGGGTAGGTCATGCCTGAAATCCTAGCTCCTCATAAGGAAGAGTTCTTAGGATCACAGTTCGAAGCCAGCCCAGGGAGGAACCATCTGAGATGCTTATCTTCAGCTAACTACCAAAAACTTTAGAAGCAGAGCTGTGGCTCAAGCAGTAGAGAACCAGCCTTGAGGGCTGGGAAGGTGGCTCAGTGGTAGAGTGCTTGCCTTGCATGCATGAGGCCCTGGGTTCAATTTCTCAGCACCACAAAAGCAGAAAAAGCCAGGTGTGGCACTGTGGCTCAAGTGGTAGAGCACTAGCCTTGAGCTGAAGAGCTGAGGGACAGCGCCCAGGCCCAGAGTTCAGGCCCATGACTGACAACAAAAAGAAAAGCAAAGAAAAGAGAACCAGCCTTGAGAGGAAAAAGAAAAACAGCTAAGAACTGCACCCAGGCCCTAAGTTCAAGCCATAGTTCACCAGCACAAAAGAAAAGCAAACTTGGATGACTCCGAGTGGAACAGAAAGGCCTTGCAGGGTTTTAAGCAGAAGAGAGATGAAATGGGTCGAATGTTTTTGAAATGACTGCCTGTCTGGGATGTGAAGAATGGACTGGAGAAGAATTGAGAAGCTATTGCGACCATCCAGCGGAGGTCAGATGGTGTTTTGCCATCTTTGGATGGTGATGGCAGGTGTGGAAGTCAGAAGATTCTTATTTGTTTAATTTAGGTGTAGCGTCATGTTTGCATTCAGCGCATGGCACCTATGCCTCTGCCGTGGAATTTTCCAGTTGGTATTTCTGGGGATGACAGTGATAGGAGAAGGTGAAGAAGGCTTGAGGTTGCCAAGAGCAGCATAGACGTGAAGGCCTGACAAAGCCCTAGGCCTCTAGGCCTCTGGCGCAGCAATAATTCTGCAGCTGACCACCTCCCCCACTCCTTCCACCACCCCCCAGCTGCTTCCCAGTGACCATGCGCAACAGGGCAGGTGGGATCCTATGGAAAGCACAGGACTTGCTAAGAGCCCGCCCAGTGCCCTCCGGGAATTGTAGTTGGGAGTCTCTGCGCAAGCGTAGTGGGTCCCACGGGCTTGCGCGCGCAGCCGCTGCAGCCTCAGGCTCGGGAAGCTCGTCGCGGTGCGGCTGGCTGCGGATGCGGTTGCGGGCGCGGGTGTGGCGCGTCCGGGGCCCTGGGTTTAGGAGCTGTGGCCGAGCCGTGGGCTCTGAGTGAGTGTGCACTGGGGCGGGATGGGGGGATGCACGGCGCACAGCCGCCTCGATGTGCCACTGCGGCGGCGGCTGCTGCTGCTGCTGCTGCTGCTGCGGGAGGCGGGTCCCGAAGTCATCCCTCCATCCCACCCGCACCCCGGGGCTCGCAACTTCAGCACCCGCGGTGTGTTGCGCGTGTGGTGGGAAGGGCGGGGCGGGGCGTCCGGTCCGGCTGGATGTGTAGCAGCATCCCTGGTTTGATACCCTCGAAACGAGTATCGTTCTTTCTCCCCGGTCCTGATCGCCAGGAATCCCTCCAGATATTTCCAGATAACTCTCCCCCCCCCACCCCATCCCGTCCATCCCGTCCCCCTTTGGCACCAGATTGCCCCTCCCCTTTCTGCCCCGGGGGGGGGGGAACATCTCCACCTGCGTCACGTTTTCACCGAGCTTCTCTTGCAAGCCTTTGGGGTCGCGATCCGTGTTTCTTAATCTTCCCTGAATCCTGGGCACCCAGCGAGGCGCTTGGGGACACGGGGAGCGCCTGAGACTGGACAAAGGAAGTCGGGCCCCTAATGTTGGACAAAGGGCTAAGTGGCGTGCTGTGCGGGCCCGTGCGCTTCCCGAGCTGTTACTATTGTCATGGTAATGGAGCCGTCAGGCCTCCTCTCCCGGGCTCTGTAGTGGTGCATTTTAAATTGCTTTGTCATTTCTTTGCGAGTGACCCAACCTCCCCCTCTTCCTCCCTCCCCTGACAAGTGCACCCCGGTCCCAGTAATGCCCGGTTCCCACCATTCTGGAGATGAGTCATTTGTAGAATAAATACACGGATGCACTTAGCACCTGCCAGTCTGTGTGCAGAGTTGCGTTTTGGTATCAAAGGAGCATTTGGAGATTCCCACCGAGGTGACTACAGAAAGGAATCGAGTTTTGAAGAAGGAGTAACAGTTTGGCAGGCGACCATAGGAAGGCAGCGTTCCAAAAAGACGGAGTAGCAAAGGATGGAAGACTATAGAGACCGGAGATGGGGAATAGAGGGTGTCGGTATTTCTTTATGGCTGCAGTGCCAAGGAAATAAATAGCTAGAACTCAAGAGATGGGGTCATCCAAGCATACCTCTAGATTGCCCCGTTGGCCTCCATCTGGGATAATTGCACCTGGAGAGGATTACAAGCAAGGGAACGACAGCATCAGGTTTTGCTTAGCCAAAGAAAATCTTTTGGCTGCAATATGAGACCTTGAAGGATCCTTTGCTTTGGGAGTTCTGTGGAGAGGGGAAATAGACTCCAGAGAGTCTTCGGAAACAATGTTGCCAGAGCTTGGCTATTAATTATAGGAAAAGTAAGGAGGAAAAGACGTCTGATTGTCGGGTGTGAAATCAGGCTTCTGAGTGGAGCAACTGGTGGGAAGTACTTGGCCATTCCCTGGTGGAGGACATGTTTTTTAAAATCAGGTTTCTCACTGCATCTCCAGGGGACTTTTTCTGTTAAACTTGGTTTATGAGGAGTAGTATTAATGACTGAAGTAACTGTTCACCTGAAAACTATCTTTAATCGACCTTAAGTAACACTTGGGCTTTTGTATATGAATTGTCCTTTGAATAGAATAGTTAGGTTTGACACTCTGAAGGAGTGTCCATGTATGTATGTGTATATATGTATTTATGTATTGTAGAATATATAAGTGCATTCAGACACCATGTAGATCTGGTATATATTTAGAAATATATGCATATATTTATGTATATGTATATATGTTTATAAATATACCTATATATTTGCATTCACATTTGTATATGTGTAAATATATATTTATATATTGTATATATATATATTTGTATAAATTATTCATATCAATCAGGCATATATCTGAACCAAAAGAATGTTTCCAGAATTATCAAGCTTGTTTTACTCATTTAATGTCTTGTTAATTCTCCTTGACAGTTTCTGCAAGACTGTAAATTGGATCGCTGGAGCTCTTCATAGTTTACTTGTATAGTGTGTTGGTGGACAGTATTGATATTCAGATAGTCTAAAAGGATCTAGATTCCTGCTGGTGATCACAATGCAAGCTGTAGTCCCCTTGAACAAGATGACGGCCGCCTCCCCAAACCTTCCATCTGTGGCTTTGCGTGCAGTAAACAAGGCCCCAAGAATGGATACTTTCAGGCAGAAGTTCAGGTGGTTCTGTTACTCAGGAGAGGCTGGACCTAGGAAAACCCTGAATCAACTCTGGGAGCTGTGCACACAGTGGCTGAGACCCGACATTAACACAAAAGAACAGATTTTAGAGCTCTTGGTGTTCGAGCAGTTCCTGTCGGTTTTGCCTGGGGAGATGAGGATTTGGGTAAAATCACAACGTCCTGAGAGCAGTGAGGATGTGGTGACCTTGATGGAAGACTTGTTCGAAACACTTGAAGAGAAGGAAGGTGAGAGTTACTGGTGGCAGGAGGAGGGGGGCAATTCTCAGTTTAGCAAAGTGAACTACTACCTGGGTGACAGTGGTTAACATCTATAGTCCTTCATACGTAGAGGCTGAGATCTGAGGATCATAGTTCAAAACCAGCCCAGGCAGGAAAGTCTGTGAGGCTTTAATCTCCAGTTAACTTCTAGAAACCCAGAGGTGGAGGTGTGGCTCAAGGGTAGAGCACCAGCCTTGAGTGAAAAAGCTAAGGGACAGCACCCAAGCCCCAAGTTCAAGCCCAGTACCAGCATACACACACACACACACACACACACACACACACACAAGAAAGTAAGTGGATTCTTCTTCAAAGGAAACTATGTTCTGCTAAGGAGGAGTCTTAAGGCTAAAAAGTAAGAATCAGGTAACCGTATACTCACAAGTACAGTCTGGAGATAAACACACCATTTCCCTGTCTATCTCAGAACTCATGGTAGAAACGTTGTATTGCTGCAACAGAGTACTTCTCCTGAGGTAAGCCTCTGGATGGACATCTCAGCAGTGTTCCATTCTAGAAGGAGCGCTTATGTCTTTGATTATGTAAGTCTGATTCTTAATTTTTACTAGTTTTAATAAAACTGACTGCAGTTCCTTCCTAAGAAGATAGGGTATAATTGGAAAAATACTTTGCCTCATGTGAGCTTCTGAGGATTTTCGGTACATATCATCCCCAAGTTCTTCAGTCTGTAGGAATCTAGTGGCCATTTGTGCCAGTACTAGGCCTTGAACTGAAAGGTCTCATGCTCTTGCTTAAGTGTTTTTGCTCAGGATTGGTGCTCTACCACTTGAGTCTCATCTCTGTTTCTCAGAGTCAATCTTGAAGCCAGCTTGGTACCTTTATTCAATAAATAACTGGGTGACGCTTGAGCAAAGCATTGTCCCAGGAGTAGGAAATGAAATAGTAGATAAAAAAGAAAATGTGCTCTTGCCTAAATACAGCATATAAATTTATGGAGTGTTTAAGAACTCTCTATTGTGCTAATTAAATATTTTAAAGCTGAGAGGTTCTGGAAGGAATGCACTTGAAATTGAAAGCATCTTTTGATGAAGTAGATATCAAAGATATATATATATATATATATTTGCATTTTCAGTCATAATCCCAGCCTGTCGTTCCTTATCACCTTTATAATTTCCCAACTGAACAACAATAAGTATCTTATTAAAATATTGGTCCATTTCAGTTCCTCAAACTTGTTCTGGATCAGCTCAGAGCAATCAAGGTGACAGTCTTACTATTATACTATTATACCTTACTGAGTATGCTAATGAATTGGTTTTTGGAAAGTACCTAAGAAACCACAGCCTAGGGGGCTGGTTGCCAGAGGAACCATCTTGTATCCTATAGAGATTTGTAGTTCACAGCCCAACCTCTACTTCAAGAGGGGCAAAAGGCTGAACTAAAAATCAATTAGTTAATCAGTCACATCGACACAATAAAAATCTTAAAAATCTAAAAGGATCAGGAGGCTGAGAGCTAAGGATTACGGGTTGAAGCCAGCCCTGGCAAGAAAGTCCTTAAGACTCTTAATCTCCAGTTAACCACCAAGCAGCTGGAAGTGGGCACCAGCCTTGAGTGAAGATGCTAAGGGAGAGCACCCAGGACTGGCACACACATTACAACACTACTACACTACACACACACAAAACCCAAAAGGATAGTATTGGGAAAAGATATCCAACATGGAGTTTCCTGGAGGTGCTGTTCCTGCAGAGGACCTTGAAGGAATTTGTGTCAGGTTGTGTCCAAGCCCTGAGTGATTTCAGAGGCGCTGAGCCCCGCCTGTATGTTCTGCCCTGACTGTTGCATCTGACTGCAGTCTAGAAAGTGAAGTGTTTCACTAACTTATGTAAGCCATTCAAGCAAAATAATTCAACCTAAGGACAGGGCCACTAGACATTGGTGAGGAATCGCAGAAGCTATGACAGGCATCTGAAGTAGGGGACTGTGTTGTAGGGCTGAAATTTCCACCTGTAGAATCTGATGCCGTGTCCTATCCTCAGTGTCTGAACTGAATTGAATTGAATTAGAGCTCTAACACTGAGCTAGTGTACACTGGAGACATGCATTGCAGAAATTTGTGACCTTGGGCTGGGAAGGTGGCTCAGTTGGTAGAGTGCTTACCTTGCATGCATGAGGCCCTGGATTCAATTCCGCAGCACCACATAAGCAGAAATACTGGAAGTGGCACTGTGGCTCAAGTGGTAGACTGCTAGCCTTGAGCTGAAGAGCTGAGGGACAGTGCCCAGGCCCAGAGTACAGGCCACCACCACCAACAAATAATAACTAACTAAATAAATAAATATGTGGCCTTCCCAAATCTGCACACACATCCAGGGACATGTAAGTTCTGTGTTGAATAATGGAAGAAATTGATGTGACTTCCCCCTTGTATATTTGGAAACATAAAAGGATTTGCCTGAAGAATCCATCTGAAAGATGATGGACTGTTTTTTAACCTTCCTAGATTCTGTTGCTTGCAAAGAGGAGAACTTAGAAGATGAAATGGTGGCTGTTCCTCCAAGCACGGGGTCAAGTGTAAGTTTTCTCTCACTGGTTTTCATTCTTTCTTTCTTTCTTTTTTTTTTTTTTTGTCATGGGGCTTGAACTCTGGGCCTGGGCACAGTCCCTCAGCTCTTCAGCTCAAGGCCCGCACTCTACCACTTGAGCCACAGCACCACCTCTGGTTTTCTGGTGGTTTATTAGAGATAAGAGTCTCACAGACTTGCCTGTTTGGACTGGCTTTCAACTGCGATCCTCAGCTCTCAGCCTTCTGAGTAGCTAGGATTAAAGGCATGAGCCAGCAGCACCCAGCTTGGTTTTCATTCTTAACTGAAGTACCTGGGCTGTTAGTGAGTGACGTAAATGAACTTACATTAATTTTGAAAATGTTGAGGATGCAAGTCATGCCTTTCCTTTCTACTTTGCCTTTTAATCTTAGAAAATCAATGTATAAGGAGTTAACTTGATCAATGTTAAATGATCTAGAGAATTCTTGTAGGGTGCTTTACCACCAGACTCTGAGTAGGAAAGTCATGGAGTGTATAATACCTTTTTTCTGTATCTTAGTAAAAGTGGTGTAATAGCTACACTGTCTTGCTTTGGAAATCTTAAAAGCTTGAATACCATCAGAATGGTCACTCTGTAACCAAATCTAAAGATTTGGAGAAGTATGAGGTTGGGAATGATGCAGTGCAATTCCTGTGGTATCCTAGGAACCCATAATGTTTGAAGAAGTGGCTGTGGACTTTTCCAGAAGTGAGTGGAAGAAGCTGGAGCCTTCTCAGCGGGAGCTGTATAAGGAAGTGCTGCTGGAAAGCTTAGGAAATCTGGAATCACTGGGTAAAGAGATTCTTTCTTCATGGTCCAGCCTCTGTCTCTGTGCTGTGGGTATGAGATGCTTTAAGTTTGTTATTCTGGGCATTCAGAACCTGAAAAAAAATCCTAAAAATAGATCTTAAAAATATATTTTCTGCATTCTTTCCTCTTAAAACTAGATCTTAGTTTCATCAAGTTGGAACTATGGAACATCAGTGGGGTCTTAAGTGCTATGCTTTCCTCCATTTCCTTCTTCCTTGAGTTCTAATATTGAATCTTTATATGTGGTGTGTGTGTGTGTGTGCATGTATGTGTGTGTATGTCCAAGCATGGGCTTAAACTCAGGGCCTTGCACTCTTACGTGGCTTTTTAATTAAAGGCTGGCACTCTACCACTTCCAGCTTTTTGCTGGTTAGTTGGAGATAAAAGTCTCTCAGCCTTTTATGCCTGGGTTGGCTTCCAATCAAGATCTTCAGATCTTAGCCTACTGAGTAGCTAGGATTACACACATGAGCCACTGGCTCCTGGATTCAAAATTACATGTTTTGTCTTTTCTGGAAAACCAGAGTCTATATAGGAATATTGTTGCATTTGTATTCTGTGTACAATCATTTTCTATTCTTTTCTCCATGAGCAGGCTTTCCAGTGTCCAAGTTCAATTTGCTTTCTCAGCTAAAGTGGATTAAGTTGCCAAAACTACTGGAAAAAGAACTCTCAAAAGATTCGAGACCAGGTAAGTTGGTGAAAGATATGACAATGAAAATGGTTGTTTACCAAGTGAGTTGGGAAGTGACCTTATGAAAGCTGGACAGGCCACTGTTAAAATAAAAAGATGGTTAAAGGAGAGTGTTTCCCTTCCTGGAATGTTAATATTTCTATTTTTTATTTTGAAAGTATAGGACATTTCATTAGCAAAAGAACACACTTTCAGTAGACCAAAAACATGCCATCCCCAGAATGACAATCTAGAATATTCCTCTTTTTTGGGGGAGGGGGTAGGGGGAGTCATGGTGCTTGAACTCAGGCTGGGCACTGTCCTTGAGCTCTCTCTCTCTCTCTCTTTTTTTTTTGTTGGGCTTGAACTTTGGGCCTGGGCGCTGTCCTTCAGCTCTTCAGCTCAAGGCTAGCACTCTACCACTTGAGTCATAGCGCCACTTCAGGCTTTTTCTGCTTATGTGGTGCTGAAGAATTGAACCAAGGGCCTCATGCATGCAAGGCAAGCACTCTATCACTGAGCCACCTTCCCAGCTCCCTTGAGCTCTTTTTGCTCAAGGCTAGTGCTCTACCACTTTGAGCCACAGCACCACTTTTGGTTTTCTGGTGGTTGATTGGAGATAAGAGCTTCATGCACTTTCCTGCTTGGGCTGATTTTGAACCATGATCCTCACATCTCAGCCTCTTGAGTAGCTATGATTACAGGTGTGAGCCACTGGATTCTGGCTTAGAATATTCCTTTTTAATAGGAAAGACATTTGATTTGGGTCCTGGTGAAGTATATATGTCAAAATATACTATGCCATACAAGAGACTTCCTGGGGAAAATTCCAAGTGATGAGAAATGACAAGGAACCTGGGGGATCTAGGAGAGCTTTCTGCACGGTGCAGATAGAAACTCTGTGAATGAGAGGGAGAGGAAGGAAGGAAGATTGGGGAAGAAGAATCTTAACCTGAAGAACAATTTTAAGAAAAGTTCAGACAAGACCAAAAAAAATGCTTGGGCCAAAGTCACCTGTCAGGGGATTTCTGTATCTTAAAGAAATGGGGCGAAGTGTCCCTGTACTCTTGATGGGTAGGAAACAGTAGGTTTGTAGCAGCAGCAGCAGCAGCAGCAGGGGCTGTCAGGCAGTCTCCCATAAGAGATCCATGAAGCAAAGCAGATATCCAAACAAAACATATTATTAAAGCCATGCACTGATGGCTCATACCTGTAATCCTAGCTACTGAGGAGCCTGAGATCTGAGGATTTTAGTTCCAAACCAGCCCAGGCAGGAAAGTCAGTGAGATTCTTATGTCCAATAAAGTACTAAGGAAAAGCTGGAAGTAGTGCTGTGGCTCAAGTGGCAGAGCACTAGCCTTGAGCAAAAAAAGCTCAGGGACAGTGCCAGGCCCAGAGTTCAAGCCCCCAGTTTGGCCCCAGGACGGGCCAAACAACAACAACTAAACCATGCTACTAATGTCTGCATAATGACATTGTATTTTAATAATGGCACAGACAAGGAGCTGTGGGAATACAGGTTCTGGAGCCACAATGGTTTTTCTTACCAATTTCAACTTTGATGGCACAAAGGCATTTCATTTCATAAGCAGTAGAAACTGCACCTTGAATTCTGAGTGTCTGTCTTATTCTTGGCTAACAGTATATAGTCCAATACTCTGTGGTAAGGCTAGATAAAGGCTGAAACTACAGGTTCCAGTGGCCCCACAGGCACAAAGAGGAACAATCAGTGCTTTTACTCTTTGTGTTGCTGAAGAGTGATGGTCAGTAGTTTAGGCCTATTAGATGCATTTCTCCCTCTGGAGAGTGGGGTTTACCTGGATGGACTTGACCCCATCATAAGTGGAGCGGTGAGTGTCTATATACAGAGGACCAAGAATTTCTTAGCACTTAGATCTTTTATTTATTTATTTTTTTAGTTGGTCATGGGGCTTGAACTCAGGGTCTGGGTGCTAACCCATTCTTAGCAGCGCTCAGATCTTGGGGGATATAGCAGGAGTTCACCCAGTAGAAAGCATATTTAGAAATTCCCATTTTTGTTAAAGGAAGAAAAGAAATGCACGTATGTCTGAGTATATGGATAAGATATTTGGATTTTTAATAGCTAGAAAATGTTCATTTTAACACTGTTATTTGACAGAGATCAGGTTTTTGTTTTCCCCATTATCCTTCTCAGTATCTTCTTACAATTTAGCTTTTGGCCTTCTTAAAATTTAACCTCAAAAAGATCTATTAATACCTCCATTTACTTTAAAGAAAAAGTGATTTATCTCATTGTCTAACACATTTATTTTAGTCAGCTTGTTGAGTGTGTCTAGTATGGTTACATAAGTAAAATATAGCAGTTGTCTTATGTTTAAGCAATATTTTGAACAGTTTAATTCCAAAAATCGATTCACAGGCCTTTTAATTTTATTTTGTCCCAGTACTGGGAATTGAATTCAGGCTTTTGTGCTTTTTAGGCAAAGTACCCTAAAACATGAGCCAGGCCTCTGACTCTTTTGGTTTTTGTTACTTTTTACATAGGGTCTTGCTTTTTGACGAAGTGGCTATGAACTGGAATCTCCCTATTTATGCTTTCCACATAGTTAGGATGGCTGCTGGCATGTACCACCATGCCCAACTTTTTTTTGTTTTTGAAAATTCACTTTATTGTTATTTTTGAGGTGATATACAAGGGGGTTACATTTACATACATCAGATAATAAGTACATTTCCTTTTGCAAAATGTCACTGTTCCCTCAGTCTCTCCCATTCCTTCCCTCCCATCTCCACCCAGGAGTTGCATAGTTCACTTTCATCAAGTGCACTCCACTGCCGCCCTTTTTCACCCTTTTCCCTCAGATTCTGTGCCCTCCTCCCACCCTCCAACATATGTGCATGTGTATACACCATATATAAGGTAAAGAATATTGAAAAAGAAAAAAAAACCTTAAGATCCTTTGTTTCCATATCTTCAGTATGTATATTATTTTACATATACATATGAAGAGGTGCTTGGGTCTTGCACCTTTGTAATTCTCTCCTAAGACTATCCTCTTTTGGTCTCATTTTATGTGAGTATCTAGAATCTTGGGTAATTTGTAATATCCCAGGGTGTTTTAGATCCAACTTCCACATATCAGGGAGAACATGTGCTGTTTGTCTCTCTGATCTTGTTCAACTTTTAATGATTGAGATGGGATTTTATGATCTTTTTGCTTCAGCTGGCCTTGAACTGTGATCCTTCCTAGGAGCTAGGATTACAGGAGCAAGCAACCATATAACTGGAGTAAAGTGTTTTTGTCAGACAAAGCAGAGTCAATAGCTATAATTTTGTAAAATCAGTGCAAGTCAGTAAGGATCGTTAAGTAAGAAAAATGAGCAGAGAATTTGAGCAAGTAACTGACAAAATTTTAAACTAATTATATTTAGAGAGACAATATTATTAGGAGTAAAATTTACAAATACTTAAAGATCATTTGATCAGAGATGATCATTTTTCCTCATTTCAGATGTTTGTACTCCTTAGGTATTATGTACAGTGGTATAATCTTTGTACCTTTTGGTTTACTAATTCTGCTTTGATGACAGTAGTATGGAAATAACTTTCCCCCCACTGGTATTAGGGGTTGAACCCTGACCTTCATACATGCTTAGCATACACTATTACTGAACTACACCCCTTGCCTTAGAAACATTAATTATTTGATAAGAGCCCAATAAAGGAATAGCTAAGTAAATGAAAAAGTACATAGTCATGTAAGTGATTAAAACTACCTTAGGAAGAATTATCAGATTAGAAACAGTTATAAGCGAGAAAAGTGATGATACCTGTGCATATTTTACTACCTAAAGTATACAGTAAATATCCTAGAAGAAAATTCATGCAACTTTTGGGTAGTAGGATTTTGAGGGGTTTTGTATTTCATAAATTGTCCTTTTCTGATATTTGAAAGTGATTGTGGACCTTCTGATAACCTTTGGAAGTCTAGCCTAGCTAGCACTGCTTGTCTGTGATGTGATGAATGTTTTGTATAAAATCAGTCAAGAGCATGTCCCTCGGTGTCAGGCTAATGTGACATAATACATGTAACCTTAGGCAGGCTGCTGACCCATGTCTTGTGTGCCCAGTTATCACATTCATGAAGCAGGAACAGTGCCACGTCTTGCTTTGGGTTTCGGTGAAGAGTAAGTAAAGCAATGCAAATCAAGTGCTTGGTGTCAAACCTGGTGTTTGGTATGTGCACGATCATTTTTTAAAGCAAAATGTTTAGATACAGAAGGAATAGATTTGAACATATTACAGACATCTAAAATGAATGTGAGAACTGGCATCTCTTACTATAAAGCACAAACTTTTCAATCATCATTTTCCCTCGTTTTTTGTTTATCCTATTTTCCCCTGTATTGTTTTTCTTTCTTTTCCATGCTTTTTTTCTTTTATTGTGAAGATGCTGTCCAGAGGGGTTATAGTTACATGAGTAAGGCAATGAGTACATTTCCTGTCAAGCATTGTTACCCCCTCCTTCGTTATTCTCCCACTATCCCTTCCCTCCCCTACCTCTCTCTCTTTTTTTTCTGTTTTTTTAAAAAAAATTTTTTGGGCAATTCTTTTGGGCTTCTTTTGCTCAAGGCCAGCACTCTAGCACTTGAGCCACAGTGCCACTTCCAGCTTTTTCTGTTTATGTGGTACTGAGGAATCCAACGTAGGGCTTCATGCATGCTGGCACTCTGCCACTAATCCACATTCCCAGCCTTTACAACACTCTTAATTGAGAACTGTCCAAGTAGTATTTCTTGTCATCATTACTCTCTGTTCCTATTTTAGTTCTAAACATAGCAACTGGAAACACTTCGTTTCTTGTTTCTTTTAGAGGATGAGCCCCGAAGTAATTTTGACAATCTTTTGGAAGAATTTACTTTAGAGAAAATAATAGAAAAATGCTTCGAGGATGATGGCTACGGCTTCATGGCAGAATTCCAGAAACATCACGGCATTGCTGAGGAGGATGGAGGCAAACGGAGACATTCCAAAGGAACACAGAAAAAAACTCAGAGGAAAGGCGATAAGGGAGAAGAAAGTGACCCAGAAAAGAGTCTCACTGGAAAAAATCCCAAGCGAACTTCCGACCTAATCAAATATATGAGAGCTTATTTAAAGAAGAAGAAGGCTCAGCAGTCTAATGAAGGTAAGAAACCCTTCAGTTTCCATTCAGATCTTGTCTTGAACTGCAAAGAACATACTGCAGAAAAGTCACGGAAACATAGTGAGAATGGAAAGGGCGTTACTCACTCTTCGTCTCTAGCTGAACATAAGAAACATCAGAAAATTCGTTTGGGGGAGAAGTCTCAGAAGTGCAGTAAATGTGGGGTAACTTTCACTCAAAGCTCATCTTCTAAGAACAGCACCTCTACATGTGAAAAATGTCAGAAGAACTTACGTCAAGATACAGCCACAAATAAAGATAAGAGACCTGAGAATGGAGAAAAAAGTCGTAAGTGTGGTAAGTGTGGAAAATGCTTCGGCTATTCCGCACTTACCAAACGTCCTAGAAATCTTACTGGAGAGAAGCCCTACACGTGTATTAAATGTAGAAAAGCTGCCAGCAATAGCTCCTCACGCTCCTCGGGTCGTGGAAGTCCCACTGACGAAAAGCTCTGTAAGTGTGATGTGTGTGGAAAAAGTTTCACCGTCATTCACCACCTCATGAAACATCAAAGAACTCATACTGGAGAAAAACCTTATGCCTGTAAAGACTGTGGGAGAGCCTTCAGTGATAGCTCATCTCTTAGTCAACATCAGCGGATTCACACTGGAGAAAAACCGTATAAATGCAGCGAATGTGACAAATCCTTCAGTCACAGCTCTTCCCTTACCAAACATCAGAGAATTCATACTGGAGAAAAGCCCTATAAATGTGATGACTGTGGCAAAACCTTTAGACAGAATTCTTGCCTTACCCGCCATCAGAGAATTCACACTGGAGAAAAACCCTATGTATGTAAGGACTGTGGAATGGCGTTCACCCACTTTACATCTGCCCTTTATCATCAACGGCTTCATTCAGGAGAAAAGCCTTACAAATGTGACGAGTGTAAGAAAGCTTTCTCCTCCCATTCCCTCCTCAGTCGCCACATGAGAAGTCATACTGGGGTGACGCCTTACAAATGCAAGGAATGTGGGAAAGTCTTCCGGCAAAGTTCATCTCTTAATGAACATTTCCGAGTTCATACTGGAGAGAAACCCTATGAATGTGATGTTTGCGGAGCAACTTTCCATCGGACCTCACTCCTTGTAGAACACGTAAAAATTCATGCCAGAAATAGAAAATACCCTTGCAATAAATGCGATAAGGTATTTAAATGTAACAATAGCCTTGTCAAACACCGGGTGGTTCACGCTACAAGTGATTCTAAGAAAGGGGAGGAGAAGTGATTGTAAGAAAGGGATGTAAAGCAATTAGGTAGAAGCTGCAACTTTGGTGGGGTGGATAGCTAGAAAAATAACTTCCCCACTCATCCCTCTTCTCTTTGATGACATAAATGGCTGGTAAAGAGTAATTAGTTGGCAAAATCATGGGGAAAGTGAAGAACTCATGGTATGAGTGACAAATTTGTACAGTTTTTTCTGGGAATTTCCCCCTCTCTTCTCCCTTCCAGTATAATGGAAAGAGAATGTGACTGGACTTAGAATCTGAGTCCTGCCCAGTTTGCCAATCAACTCACCTTGCACAAATCATCCAACCTTTCAGAATTTTAGTTTTTTTGTTGGTAAAGAATGAAGAGTTGGGATTACCCATCTCTAATTTTGTTTTTGGAGCTCTGATACTCATGGGGGGAAAGATAAAAACATTTTTGATTCACTAAAATTTGTATTGTTTGTAGAGTAGAGAACTTCTTGCAGGATACTGGAATTCTGGTTTAGTGGGGATGTAGTGTACTTCTTGAATACGTGTGCAGGACTTCCTAGAATGTAATAAATAGAAATGTCAGGGAAGGCCCCTCTTTTTTTTCTTTCTTTTGGGTACTGGCTCAGTACCTTGGCACCTGAGCCAACCCCACCAGGAGACTAACAGAGCTAGGAAATCAGATTGGTTTTAGGGAAAAAGAAATCTCTTGAAACTGGCTGTTCTGGGTGGATTATCTTTTGCCAAATAGAATTATTTATTTTTTGTCTGTAATAAGCAAAGCTTCCTCCATTAGGAAGTACATTCTGCTTAGCAAAACTTAAAAGCTGTTAGATTGTATCTGATTGGTCCCTTAGGAGTGTTTTGTTGGTCTGTGGTAGTTGTAGTGAGTGGGGTATATCTACTTAGTTGCCAACTATTTGGAAAATAGGGAATTCATATTTTCTTTTGTTTTTTAAAATAAGGATTGTCTGAAACATTATCAGTAGCTGCCATGTTCAGCTGAAGAATCTGCTCTCTAAATTGCCAAATTCTGGTTTATGATCTGACTTTCCCATTTAAGAAATAATATTTTAATCCCTGATACTAGAGAGAGTATGCAGTAAAATCTAAATGCACCCTATTGATAACAAGTAAAGTTCAGGAAGGGAACATAGAATTATATGTTTTCAGTTGTACAACTAGACCTTGAAGGAACAGAATCTATGGATATTGGTAGCTGTTCCTTAGAAACTTAATTGATGGGGGTCTGAATAAAACTTTCCTACTGAAAAAGAAACTAAAGACCCTGAATGAGTTGGGTTTGGGACTCAGGTCATTGGAGTCCAGCGAAGCCCCTCTGGCTCAACAGTGGTGAGACGTAAGTTCTAAATGTTGCCATCAGAGTCAGGTCCTATAAGAAAATTACCTCAGGAAATTCTGGGCTTATGGAAGTGAACAAACCTTAATGCTGATCTGAGAGTAATGAACATTTGCTGTAACTTAATGTGCTTAGGTCTGAAATTCTACCTCTTGTAGGTATAAGGCTTTTTGTTTCTTTCTGATCCTACCTCCTTTCTTTCCCCAAAGCTTGAAATTCAAGTATTATTAAGTGATGAAGTTGTTTTGCATAGTTTACATATGTCATTGCTGAAGGACCAATCAAAGATTCTTTTCATGTATCCATGAAAAGAAAATGGCTTTGAAGAGTCATTCACACTGGTTTAATGTTTTTTTTTCTGAAAAAGTATAATTTATAGAGAGAATTTAGGAAGTAATGTTTATTGTTTAGGTTTTCATAAGGGATGTTTTATCCTAATATCTATTAAGAATAAAAAACAAACATTTTACAGCTTTATTGAAGCATAATTTAGCACAGGAAATCTTAAGACTTTTTGAAGTCATCCAGGTAACACTGACAAAGAATGAAAGGTCATCCTGTGTGTTTTCTATTTCATTGGTTCCATCAGTGACAATTATTCCATGGCGTTTAGGCATGTGTAGTGAACAGCTTTACCATCCAAGTCCTTGTGACACTGGGAGTCTGCTTCAGAAAACTGAACAAGAATATGTTTAGTATGAATTGCAGATTGGAATAAACCTATGAGGGCAAAGTCATCGCTTGTTTTAAGATTCCAATACAAAGCTAGAATCTCATCTTCATGATAGAAAACTCATCTGTCTCTAGCTGAAATTCCTCAATAGATTTAAAAATTGCCAAAAAAATCTGTCATTCATTAGAGATTTTAGGCAAAAAAAAAATTGATGTTTCTTTTGTAAATTGGAATGTTGAAACATAATAGACCCCGTTTCCCTTGTTTGTGTTAACATGATTCATCTAAACTGAAAATACTTGAAACTTTTCAGATTTTGAATCAATTGGTCTCTGTTCATAAAAGATATCTGTGTAAGTATGTTCCAGGAGAAAAATGTGATTTGCTCACGTCCTGAGCAAAACTGTCTTAATGGTGTACTTGAAATTTTCATTTTTTGTGGGTGTTTTTAAAATATCTCCTTTCACAGTTTTGTAGGTAGATGATGATACTTAAGATCATTTCTTTTTAATCTTTCCAAGATTCTTTTGAGTGTATGCTTATGTAAAAAGCAAACTTTTATATCTAGCCTAGTGTTTACACACTCAGAGCCTGTGAAAAGTTGGTTAGATCGTTTTTGTTGGAACTTTGGACAAGTTAATGTGGCTTCTCTTGACTACGTTGTTGAGGAATTATGGAGGTGTGAAATTTGTCTTAAGTATTGCGTGCTTTCTCTAACACTTGAACTGAACAAACAATTTTGTTTGTTTTGCTGCTGTACATTGCGACTACCATTTGTCCATCCATCCATTGTGGAATGTATGCACAGTGCTTTGCTAGTCGCTTTTTCTCTGTACTGTACCAGTTGTACAAGCTTCTGTATCTGCACTGGCTTCTGCCTTAGTAATATGCCTTTGATTAAAATTTAAATATTTTTCCATGTTTTTACCTAGAAAATAGTGAATAGTTCAATTTAAGGTTAGAATGTACATATGTGGTGCTGTCTCCAGTCTGCATAGGTGTACCCTAACTTGTGCCATCTGCTTAAAAATATCTAAGTCAACCCATCATGCTATTCCATCTGTGCATAGAGAGAAGTCATCCAACATGAGATCAGTTTGTTGATACTGACTAGATTGGTGATGTGTCTGTGGGTTACACTAAAAATGTACATTCCTGTACGGACGGTATAATACAACAGTGTTTTATGCTTTACAGTGTTGAAAGTGAATTGTAGCTCTATTGAAACAATAAAGTTGGGTGTAATAAAAACAGTATTTGATTGTATTTCAGTTTTTTTCAATCTGAAGATATGGCGTAACAGGCATTTCCAGTTCTCGGTAGCCTCATGTGGCTACCATATTGGATGATGTTGGGTTAGAAAAAGCAATGCTTGCCAATTACAGAAAAGCTACAAGTTACTGTAGTTTACCTCAGTAAAAGTTTGTTCCACACAGATTTGCAACATCTTGTTGCTCTTCAAAATTTACTATTCATCTGGAACATGCTGGCATGCCAGGTCTGAGAAGTATGGAAAGGGAGAAGCCATACATTGCAGTGCACAATGTTTTTCCAACACTGGTTTACAACTAGGTCACAAGTAGGTCTGCAGATGTGCTAGGGTATTGCAGAGGTCTTGTGGGTACTTCCCAGCCCTGCTGACACTATTAAACAACATGAACTATTATTGTTGGGAATTGATTAACAAATGGAACTGGCAGGTCTAACTTTTGGCCTAAAGGTGTTATGGAAAATTAGTTGTGGTACTAAGGATACTGTAACCATGAAAATTTTGCAACCTGGGGCTTAGAAATGACTTCTCTTGTAGAGCAGAAATCAGTTCCATGATCCTTACTTATCCACAGAGGAGGCTGGCAAGTGTCTTAGGCTCATGGTAAGCACACAGACTAGTTTTGCCACAGTCTTTGGCCGTACTTTTTTTTTTTTTTTCCTGCATGAAGAACATGCTTTTGTCTCCCCAAAGTCTAATGCAATGTTTATAACTCAAAAGTCCAGAGTCTCTGAATAAGAAACTTGAGCCTCATTTAGAGGTTTGTTTTTGCCTTTGGGACCTACTAACCTTCCTTGGAGCAGTACACTGCAAAAACTATGCCTTGCTCTGAGAAGGATCTCCTGATGTCCTGGTAGGACAGAAGAAAGTAGAAAAGCCAAGTGCTGGTGGCTCACACCTGTAATCCTAGCTACTCAGGAGGCTGAGTAAGGTTCATGGTTCAAAGCCAGCTTGGGCAGGAAAGTCCATGAGACTTTTTTTTTCCCATGAGACTTTGATTTTCAATAAACCACTAGAAAACCGGAAGCGGCACGGTAGCTCAAGTGGTGAAGTGTTCACCTTGAGCTGAAGAGCTGAGGGACAGCGCCCAGGCCCAGAGTTCAAGCCCCACTACCAACAAAGAAGAAAGTAGGCAGAAGAAAGCTATTTCTTGTTATACAGGATTCTACTCAATCAAGTTGGGATCCCCAAGTAAACAGCCTTTCAAGTTCTATTTAATGAAAGGTAAAACTTCTTTGCTGTGAGGGAATGGTTATTACTTGCCCCGTCAAGCTGGTTTCTGTATTTGGGCAAGACTTTGCCATGGGTTGGGTCCTTTGTTGCTTTTTGGGACAAGACATTCCAGGCTCATTTTGCATCCTTTCTGCTCCAGCCCTAGAACAATATATTTCTTCAAGAAGCTGTAGTTTCTTTTGGTAGAAAACTGAATGTAAGCAGGGTGCTGGTGGCGTACACCTGTAATCCTAGCTACTCAGGAGGCTGAGATCTGAGGATTGTGGTTCAAAGCCAGCCCAGGCAGGAAAGTCTGTGAGACTTATCTCCAATAAGCCACCAGAAAACTGGAAGTGGCACTGTGGCTTAAGTGGTAGAGCGCTTGCCTTGAGCTGAAGAGCTGAGGGACAGCACCCAGGCCCAGAGCTCAAGCCCCATAACAGACAAAAAAGAAAAGAAAAAGAAAATAGAATTTAAATGTCTTATTAGGGATTCTGGGGAACTCATTGCTATTGGACTGTCACTACTTTAGGCCCACATAGTGAACAGAATTAAGGAATGGATACCCTTCGGTAGATAAACACGTTTGAATGTGTATGTAGTATATGCATACATGTACTCTGTCTCATGGAGTTAACAGAAATACCTATGATTCCGATCTCATATCAACAAGGCTCTTCCCATGCTTATAACTCCCTAACAAATTCTGATTGCCTTTGGTTAAATTTGTCATCACTGTCTTTGAGCAAACGTGTTATTATCTCAAGGTAACCGCTGATCACCACCACTCCCTTTCTCCTGCCCTCCACTCCAGCTCGGACATCCTGCACCTCCCATCATTCTTGCTTCCACATGTGAACACTGTCCTTGTAATGCCTGGGCTCAAACAGGTCATGCGGGCCCCCTGCTACACACAAGCTTCAGTCAAGGCTCTGACCTAAACACTGCTTGCTGGTCATGCTTCCCCATGGCAAAGATCTCTTCAAATTGCTTAAGAATCCACTGGTTTCCTAAGTGGATACAGTCTTCCCTAATTGGGGTCACATACCTACTACAGGCCACCCCTCCATGTGGACCTGCTTAGACTGCCTGATCTCTCATCCCTTCGCTCTGCTTGTACTCTTGCGTTCTCATACGAGGGATCCTTCCTGTTCAAACGCCCTCCTCACTTGGCTTGGACTCCAGAACTCTTCCTCAGGCCTTGGTCTCCCTCAGTCACATGACTTCTGTGGACTTTGGACATACCATGCTGGGGAGTCCTACTATGACTCAGCAGCCATATTCATTTTGCTTGGGCTCCAACTCCTGTCACTAGGTGAAAACACTATCCATTGTCCCTACTCTGGCTTCTCATGCCAGGCAGCCGGCCTCCCTCTGCACGCCCCCTTCCCTTACTCTGAGCCACAGGTTTCTCTACCCTGGACCCCAGCAGGCAGCAGATAATGTGTTCTGTACAATCTTACATCATTAGCTTGAATAGTTTAGAAAGACAAGGCACAAAAAGTACTTTTATTAAAGGCTGGGCGCTGGTGGCTCACGCCTGTAATCCTAGCTACTCAGGAGGCTGAGATCTGAGGATCGCGGTTCAAAGCCAGCCTGGGCAGGAGAGACCTTGAGACTCCTATCTCCAATAAACCACCAGAAAACCGGAAGTGGCACTGTAGCTCAAGTGGTAGAGCACTCACCTTGAGCTGGAGAGCTGAGGGACAGCGCCCAGGCCCAGAGTTCAAGCCCCACGACCGACAAAAACAAAAACAAAAAGTCGAATTTGGACTATTTATTAAAACACTGGCGACTAGCCGGGCGCCTGTGGCTCGTGCCTGTATTCCTAGCTACTCAGGAGGCTGAGATCTGAGGATCACGGTTCAAAGCCAGTCCAGGCAAGAAAGTCAGTGAGACTCTTACCTCCAATAAACCACTCAGAAAACTGGAAGTGGCACTGTGGCTCAAGTGGTAGAGCGCTAGCCTTGAGCTGAAGAGCTGAGGGACAGCACCCAGGCCGAGTTCAAGCTCCATGACCGACAAAAAAAAAAAGTACTTTTATTTTTTAATTGTATTTGAGTGTTATTTATTCATAAGGTTCAGATTTCAAACAGTACAAAAGATTACACAATATAAAGATTTCTCTAATCCCAATCCTTCCAGTAGTCTCCACTACACTCGACTATTTGAACCAGCCCTCCAGTTCTCTTCTTTGAAGATAGTAATCTTCCCCTCCTTTTAAAAGCATGGCATTGTACCTTTCTACATATTTACACCTTTTGTGTTCCTTGGGAAGCCTTTAAAGATTAAAATCATGAATATATATTTAGATACATATTCCCAGTGTTACATTTCTTAAATTTTTGGCAGTGTTTGTCAATGATAGATTCTGTCCTTGGTCTGTTACGTTATTAGACTCAACTATAGCGTGTCAGTGTGGACTCTTAGACCTCTGACATCAGTATGGATCACTTCTGGTGTCAACATAAGCACAGGGGTGATCTTCTGACTTCAATTTCACCCACTTTTGCAGGGAGTTAGCTAATACTTACTGGCTTTTACCAATGAGAAATCAGAAATCCAAAGTCACAGGTAGACTTTTGGGCTCCAAAGCCAATTTTTTTTTTAAACACCACCAAAGGGGAACCATGGAAGGTAGAGAGATGGCTGATTGTTGTTCATGAGATTTCCATTCTGTCACTCATCACAGTATGTTTTATTAGGTAGATAACCCTTATTACAGTTGCTGATTCTTACATAAGTAAGGCAATACACATTTTTACCAAATGGTGAAGGGCTAATGGTCCAGAGATGATTCTCTGTGCCATTTTTCTTCATGCTTTCACTATTGTCTTCCCCAAATTATCTCCTTTCATCATTCCCATGAATGCTGCTGGCATGTTTTCAAATCCTTCGATAATATATTCATGATATTGGATTTTACCCTGTATCGAATCAACAACAAATGGGTTTATTTTACATTTCAGATGACACTCTTCGCATCTGAGCCACAAGCTGTATTGGCTACATTATGTGAACATTGAAAATACGAGATGGAGACTTTGTTTTCTGTGAACTCAGAAGTTAATTTGGGAGCTGGGCAATGGTGGCTCACGCCTGTAATCCTAGCGATTCAGGAGCCTGAGATCTGAGAATCACGGTTCAAAGTCAGGCCGGGCAGGAAAGTCCATGAAACCCTTATCTCCACTTAACCACCAAAAAACCAGTGGAGCTGTGGCTCAAAGTGGTAGAGCACTAGCCTTGAGCAAAAGAGTTCAGGGACAGCACCCAGGTCCTGAATTCAAACCCTACAACTGATTTTTAAAAAAAAAGTTAATTTGGGGGTGCCACACATGATGCATATAACAGAGTATAAAGTATGCACCACAAAAACTTCATAGTAGATAGATATCAGAACACAGTATGACAACAAAAGAAATACCACAAGCTCCAGTTCAGCGATTTCTAAGTAAATGGTACAGAAACATTTAATAATGCAATGATCTCAGGAAAGGTGGAAGGAGACTAGGAAAGGAGCCACCCTTCTACATCCAGGATATAGAAGAGCCAGGATATAGAATCATTTTCTCTAAGCCCAGAAGAAGCCATGTAAATACTGTGGCAGTTTAATAATTTGCTGCTCTTTTAAACTAAGGTTCTTTCAATATGTATTTATTTATGTAGAGAGTGGGAGGGTCATGTCATTATGGGAGGTTTTTCATTTCCCTTTGTCTTTTTTTTGGGTCTGGTCGTGGGGCCTGAACTCTGGGCCTGGGCACTGTCCCTCAGCTCTTCAGCTCAAGGCTAGCTAGCGCTCTACCACTTGAGCCACAGCGCCATTTCCAGCTTCTTTCTTTTTGCTTATGTGGTGCTGAGGAATCTAACCCAGGGCCTCATGCATGCAAGGCAAGCGCTCTACCACTGAGCCACCTTCCCAGCCCCTTTCATTTCCCTTTCTATGATAAGGCACACAGTCTACATTTTCAAAAACTTTTAAAGGTCTTGCAGAGCAAGATTATAGGCATGAGTGACTTAGGAGCTGACATCTGAGAATCACAGTTCAAAGCCAGACCAGGGAAAAAAATCCTTGAGATTCTTTTTTTTTCTTCATCCAAGACCTAGACTTAAACTTGTTAGCTAATGCATTATAATCAGTGGCAGGCATCCTACACATGAGCCATGCCTCTAAGCCCTAAGACTCTTCTCTCAAATTGGTCACCAAAAAATCTGGAAGTGACGCTGTGGTTCAAATTGTAAAGTGCCAATCTTGAGCTAAAAAACAAACAAACAAACAAAAAAAAACCTAAGGGATAGTACCAGACTGAGTTTAAACCCCAGTACTGGCACAAAAACATAACAACAAAATTATTTCTTTGGGTTCACTCCCCAGCACATCAATGAGGGGGAAAAAAGAGCAAAGACCAGGAAAGAAAAGAAAAGGATTAAGAAGATATTAGGAGCCAGGCACAAGGGGCTCACGCCTGTAACCCTAGCTACTCAGGAAGCTGAGATGTGAGGATCTTGGTTTGAAGCCAGACCTGGCAGGAAAGTCCATGAGACTACTATCTCCAATAAACTACCCAAAAGCCAGAAGTGGAGCTATGGCTCAAGTGGTAGAGCACAAGCCTTAGCAAAACAGCTCAGGGACAGCACCCAGGCCTCGAGACTGGTGTGCACATGTGCACGCGTGCACACACACAAAAAGGGAGAAAGAAGAAGGGAGAGGAGGAAGAGGCGGAGGAGGAGGGGAATGAGAAGTGGGAAGGGGAGGAAGGGGGAGGAGAAGAAAAGAAGAAATTCGGTCCCCTCAGCTTCACTTTGTTAGAGGAAGCATCAGGGATACCAGCACAGGAGTTTCTTGTCAGCTGAGATCACAGAGGACAAAGAGGCTATGCATTGGAACTTAAAAATAATTCAGTTCCTTCCAGCTTTCTAAAGAGAGCACTCCAAGTGTTAGTCTTGGAAAATCATCAAGTGCCAGAAGAACAATCTATTTCTTTGAACTGGAAAAATGATCATAGGCCAGGAATTAGGAAGCACTATAGCACATTTTTTTTTCTAAAACTCAAATAATGCATCTCCATTCTTCAGATTTCTTTGACTGAAAGTCCACATAGTCACGTGGGAAAATGACCAAGCATAGGAGAAAGGGAATGGCTTCTTCTGGATGCAAAGGCATGGCTGAAGGAAGGCTCTTTTTGGTCTAGGACCTGGGAAGTGGTAGGTCTATTTGTAGGTCCCACTAACATTTATCTGCTCCACAATGCTTATATAGTGCCTGCAAGTTGCGAGTGGAGTCCCAGGGGTTGAACCCAGGACCTCACCCATGCTAAATCATGTGCTTTACCACTCAGATGCATTCCCAGCTTTCCTGATGCCTACATGGATTTAGACAAAACAGTATTCTGGATGTTGGAGATAGTCCAGGAAATAAAACATATGAGCATTATCCTCATGAAGGTTAGGTTCATGGAAACCAGATAGGTAATGCATATGAATGAGTAAGCTATAGGTTATATTAAAATCAAATTGCTGGTGATAAAAGAGAAGAAACATCAGAAATAAGGGGAGTTGCTACTTAAAATAAGGTGGAAAATTGCCTTACTCATTCCAGTGTCCTATAGCATGATAAGGCTGACGACAGTGAATTGCATATTTCAAAATAGCTAGTGGAGAAGAATTTGCATGGTCCAATCAAAGAAATGATAAATGTTCAATGGCTATCCCAATTACCTTGAGCTAATAATTTTACATTGTGCATAGGTACTGAAATGTGTACCTCATTGATGTACACAATTACAATATGTCAACTACAAATTTATATAAATTTTAGGGAAAGGGGCTAGGTGTAGTGTTTCACACCTAGAATCCCAGATTCTTGAGAAGTGGAGATAGGAGGATATGGTTTGAAGCCAGCCCAGCGAAAAAACTATGAAACCCTGTTTGGAAAACAAAATCAAGAAAAAGAGGGCTGGGGAGAAGTAGAGTGTTTTCCTATCCAGCATGAAGCTCTGACTTCAAGTGGGAAGAGAGAAACTGTATGCATGTGTATAGACACTATTTCCAGGTAGTTTTTTTATAAAAGGAAGAATAGTGAAATGGCTCTGTATTTGAATGGAAATAAAATCTAGAGAAGGGTCAGTTGTGGTGGTACATGCTTGTAATCCTGGCAATAGGGCGGTTGAGGTGGGAAGATTGAGTTCGAAGCAAGCCTGGACTATACAGAGACTCTCTAGTCCCTCTAAAAAGAAACATATTTAGAGAGGATTTTTGTTGTTGTTGTTGTTTCTTTTGTTTTATGCCAGTCCTGGGGCTTGAACGCAGGGCCTGGGTGCTGTCCCTGAGCTCTTTTGCTCAAGTCTAGTGCTCTATCACTTTGAGGCACAACTTCATTTCCATTTTTCTGGTGGTTACCTGGAGATAAGAGTCCCACGGACTTGCCTGGGCTGGCTTTGAACCACAATCCTCAGATCTCAGCCTCCTAAGAAGCTAGGATTACAGGCGTGAGCCATCAGCACCTGGCTTTATTTTTCTTTTTAAGATGGAAAAGGTAAGGCTCATTATATTTAAAAGGCAGTGACAGTGGACTTGGTCTTTTGGAATCTGGGATGACTGGCACTTCTAAAGCTGTTGCAAATGTCGAAGAGATGTTTGCAAGAAGATTGACAAAAGATGACAAAGAGTATAATTGGAGCCCCTCCAATTATTGAGGAATAGAATGGCAGAGTTGGTAGGAACCAAAGAAATAGAAGCACTTGGTTGCAAGATAACAGACAGTTTATAGAGTTAGGGGCAGCAGATGGAGATGGTCAAGTGACAGCCCAGCAAATCAGTAACAAGGATGATCCTGGGCCAACAAGTACCCACAGCACAGACAAGAGCCTTACTACCCACAGGAGTCTCCCTATGGCTACCACTGAGAGGATGTGTGCAGCTCGGATAAACCCTTTGCTTTTAACACGAGTCTGCTTGCTGTCTGTTGGTCATGGTTTTCCAACTTGCTTTAGGGACTGGACTGGAAAGTTTTTGGAATTTAAAACTTAAAAAAAAACTTCCTAGAAAGAGGTTATGGTTATTGGAATAAGGATCCCATCCATTCCTTGACTTCTAACGTTTCGTTTGTTTCCTGCCTTCCTAGTGCTTTGAGTTTGCTACATTTTCCTTATTTGATCTCCGGAAGTTCTTTCATCAGCACAAAAATAAAAACGCTTAACAACAACAACAACAACAAAAGAGGCAGTAGCCCAGGAGACAGGGAGAAAGGACGATACAGCAAAAGGGAGGGAGAAAGTGGTGCCCAATGGTCTGGGGTGTAAAAAGCCTGACCGAAACCCCTTACCTCGGAGACCCATTTCAGCAAGTCTTCCAGAGCTTTCTGGCGGACGTCTTCGGGCCAGCGGCTGTAAAGGAACCCTTCCATGCGGAGCTGCTGGTAGATGATCTTCTCTGGAGGTGGGCCTGAAAGAGGAGGGTGTTTCGGTGACAAGGCCCAGGATGAGGACACAAGCCACACAAGTCACTGTCACTGTTTTCCTGGTGCCTCCCCCTTCTACTTCCTCCGCTCCTTCTCTTGTGATCTGCTAAGTATTACCATGCACTCTGTGTTAGGGAGAATAACGGCCCTGAAAGACATACCCAGAACCTGTGCGTATGTTAAAATAGGTGGCAAAAAGACTTTGGCAGTTGTGACTAAACTAGGAACCCTCAGATGGGGCGATTACAAATGTATGTAACGGGTGGTTTCAGTATAATCATAAGCATGCTAAGTTATAAAGGAAAGAAGGACCTAGGAAAGTTAGTGTGAAGGAAAAGTAAAAATAAGTGATAATGTTAGTAGGGATAAGACAGTTATGATAGCCTCTAGAAGCTGGAAAAGGTAAAGAAACAGATTCTCCTCTAGGGATTCCAGAAAAAGAAACAGCTGTTTTAGACATTCATTTTAGACTTTAACCTTCAGAACTATAAGAATACATTTCTGTTAAGTACTAAGCTTGTGCTCATTTGTCACCGCAGCAATAGGAAACTAATACACACCAAGAAGCCTTACTCAGACCCAACAGCCAAGAAACTCACACTCTGTAAGCAAGGCCAACCCAAGTTTCCCAAGCAGTTCTATGAAGAAGAGGCCCCAAAGATAGCACATGAAAGTGTTCTGGACTTTCCAAGAATGAACACATAGCATGCTCTTCTTTATGATTGTAGTGAATTCATTCTGGGACATGAACTCACTTCCTTCTGTTCTGTTCTAAAAGGAGATGTAAAATAAACCAATGTACATTCTCAAGTCTAAGAGTCAGTAAGAGAGAACAGATCAACTACTCCCATAAACACCTACCCTCGCCATTTCAGGATGCCAAAAGAAAACCTGACAACACTCTCCTATTTAAGAGTTTCAAGTGGAAACTTATCAAAAGAGTGACTTGGCCCTTCCTCCAAGTTCTCTTCATTGTAATTGTGGATTTGGTCTCAAGAACTTGGATTTCTGATAAATGCATGAAATTGGTGATGCTGCTGGCCCTGGGACCCCATCTTGAGAACCACCAGCCTAAAAAGAAACCAAGGCTGTCCTACAGCCTATGAAGAAGAGACTGTTCTTCTGTGTGAGAAAGAAAAGCTTGGATTACCTCTGCTGATTTATTTCCCAAGGGGTCCTAAGTGAGGAAAAATTGAGAGCATAGTCTTATAAGTCTTACACGTTTCAAAAAGTCAAGTGAAAAGTTCAGGGCCATGAAAAGCCAATCCAAGTGCTAGACTCCATTGTTGGTATCCTGGATAAATGGCATCCCTCAAGCCTAGTCCCTGCTCATCACTTTGAAGAGGAAATAGACAAGGCCAGTTGTCAGCTCCAAGACCAAGCTGACCAGCTAAGCTGCCCAAGACCAGTTCAGGTTACTTATCCAAAACATCTGGCTGCCCCTAATTTGGACTCTGGTTAACAAAACACACCCTTCAGCTCTGCTTAGTTGGCAGGCTGAGGATTTTCCATGATGCTAGATTCGCATAAACAGGAAAAATAGAGGAAATTAAAAAGTCCTTAAACAGCCAGGCATCAGTGGCTCACACCTGTAATCCTAGCTACTCAGGAGGCTGAGATCTGAGGATCACGGTTCATAGCCAGCCTGGGCAGGAAAGGCTGTGAAACTCTTATCTCCAATAAACCACCAGAAAACCAGAAGTGGCACTTGAGCTCAAGTGGTAGAGTGCTAGTCTTGAACTGAAGAGCTGAGGGACAGCACCCAAGCCCAGAATTCAAGCCCCATGACCGACAAAAAAACAACAACAACAACAAAAAAAAACAAGTCCCTAACCAGGCAATTGCCAAGTGAGTCTGGTATTGGATGTTGCATAGTCCAAAGGGGAATCTGCGAATTGTTCTTCCTCAGTCTCCTTCTCTGCAAGCCTTCCTGTCGCTGTGTACTTGTGTGGCCCCGTTCCTCGGGCTTGAACTCAGGAATCTGGCACTGTCTTCTTGAGCTTCTTTTGGCTCAAGGCTAGCTCTCTACAACTTGAGCCACAGCACCACTTTCGCCTTTTTCTTTCTTTCTCTCTTTCTTTCTTTCTTTCTTTCTTTCTTTCTTTCTTTCTTTCTTTCTTTCTTTCTTTCTTTCTTTCTTTCTTTCTTTCTTTGTCGGTCATGAGGCTTGAACTCTGGGTCTAGGTGTGGTCCCTTAGCTCTTCAGCTCAAAGCTAGAGTTCTACCACTTGAGCCACAGCACCACTTCCGGCTTTTTCTGTTTATGTGGTGCTGAGGAATCGAATCCAGGGCCTCATGCATGCAAGGCAAGCGCTCTACCACTGAGTCACCTTCCCAGCCTGACTTCTGCCTTTTTCTGTATAGTTTATTGGAGATAAGAGTCTTGTGGTCTTTCCTGCCTGGAAGCTGGCTTCAAACCATGATCCTCCGATCTCACATCCTGAGTAGCTAGGATTACAAGCATGAGCTACCAGCGCCTGGCTGTAATTAAGTATTTTTATTTATTCATTACATTTACCAGGAATATCAAGAAATCTGCCTAATATTTTGACCGCCACTGGCCTATCTCATATCTGGGTCTTCTGCTTGCCCAGTCTTCCCATGTCAGTGATCACACGCATGAGCAGTTACCTGGCGGGAGAGCGTGAGTACTGTTATACGTAGAGATTGCCCCACAGATTGCAATTCTACCGAATGTCTTCATCTGGGATATGACAGCATTTGAAAACTCTCCACCTACCTAAACAGACAGGGAAACACACACCTTAAGTAATCTAATGCCTGACTTAGAGAATCAATACATCATGATCATTATTTCACAATATGGTTTTTAGTAACAATGAAACTGACTGAACTAGCCAGGTGCTGCTGGCTCATGCCTGTAATCCTAGATACTCAAGAGGCTGAGATCTGAGGCTTGTGGTTCAAAGCTAGCAGGGCAGAAAAGTTAGTGAGACTCTTATTTCCAAGTTACCACCAAAAAAGCTGGAGGTGGAGCTGAGGTTCAAGTGGGAGAATGCTAGGTTTGAGCCAAAAAAAAAAGTTCAGGGACAATGTCTAGGCCCTGAGTTCAAGCCCCAGAACCAACAACATAAAACCAAAAGCAAAATAAAAAACTGACTGAAATAGCACAACAGTGTAGAGAATTGCAGTTAGAAAAACTTTAGGAACATATATTACATAACTTATAATATTAAAGTTCTTTGCTCAGCTGAGTAGTCTCAAAAGGCACATGAAGAACTCAGGTTTTCCAGTTTCAAATTTTACTACAAAGCCAAATTAATCAAGACTATTTGAAAATAGAAATATAGGCTAGAGTCCAAAATAGAATCCTTACATTTATGATCAACTAGTTTTTCTATTCTAATGCTCAAACAACTTAATAGGGGAGAAAATAGCCCTCTCAACAAACGGTGTAAAATCACTGTAGAATTAGATCTTTCTCATATGAAAATACAAATTAATTTGACATGGAATACAGAACTAAAATTTTGAAACTCTTAAGAAATATATCTTTTTCTTTTCTCTGTGTGTGTGAGCTGGCACTAGTCCCTTATTTTTTTTTTTTTAACACAAGGATAGCACTCTACCAGTTAAGCCACAGCTCCAGTTCTAGCTTTTTACTGATTAATTGGAGATAAGAGTCTCATAAGACTTTCCTGTGTAGGCTGACTGCAATCCTCAGATGTTAGCCTCCTAAGTAGCTAAGGTTATAGGCATGAGCCTCTGGCTCATGCTGGCTTATAGAAGTCTACCTTTTTGGCCACTCTGAGTAAGCCAAAGCTTCTTTAAACATAACACCTACAATCCCAAGACCCAGAAGAAAAAAGAGATAATCAGCCACTGAGATAGGGTCACATCTGTAACCTTAGTTATTCAGGAGGCTAAGATCTGAAGATAGCGGTTTGAAGCCAGCTCAGGCAGAAAAGCCCATGAAACTCTTATCTCCAATAAACCACCAGAAAACTGGAAGTGGCACTGTAGTTCAAGTAGTAGAGCGCTCGCCTTGAGCTGAAGAGTGCAGGGACAGTGCCCAGGCCCAGAGTTCAAGCCCCACAACCGACAAAAAAAAATAATAAATAAAGTAAATTGTATTTCACAACAACTTTTCTAAAAAGTCCTATGTGCTGGGCACTGCTGGCTCATACCTGCAATCCTATCCACTCAGAAGGCTGAGATAGAAAGATCATGGTTCGAAGTCAGCTCAGAGAGGAAAGTGTGTGAGACTCTCATCTCCACTGATTACCAGAAAACTGGAAGTGGTGCTGTGGCTCAAGTGGGTAGAGTGCTAGCAAAAACTTCTCAGGGACAGCGCCCAAGCCCTAAGCTTAAGCAACAAAAACCCTGAGTTCAACCAACAAAAAAGAAATCTCATATGTATATTCTTCATATATTCTAAATGGAAACTTCAGAAATAGGAAATAATACATCATACTGTATTAACACATCCAATAGATCTGGTTTGTACTTACATTGTCAAAATAGCAATCGTACCCATCAGGAGAGGCATTTTTCAAAGCTTGCTCCAAAGATTTTTCCGTCTTGTAGTTAAAAGCAACATCAAATCCAATCTTTTTCAGATAAGCAATTTTTTCATCAGAACCTGCTGATCCAACAACTTTGCAGCCCTAAATGAGGAGAGGAATAGAAGCAATTAATGAGCCTGAAACATGGGTCAACTTCTATTTCCATAGTGTCTACGAGGGCAGACTCCTCACAAACAAACCTTACATTGGCCAACTGTTAGTCACTGGGACTAAATACTTAACAATAACAACCTAAGCATGGTAGCTGGTAGTCCGTGCCTGTAATTCTAGTTACTCAGGAGGCTGAGCTGTGAGGATCACAGTTCAAAGCCAGCCTGGGCAGAAAAATCTGTGAGACACTTACATCCTTTTAACCAGCAAAAAGCTAGAAATGGAACTGTGGCTCAAGTGGTAGAGCAAAATGGTCTTGAGCAAAATGCTAAGGAACACTACCTAGGGCCTGAGTTCAAGCTCAGGCAAAAAGATACAAAAACAAAAAGAAATATAAAAGTGCTTACAAACTCACTGTTGTAGAGGGAGGCCATTCCTCTATACCTGCCACAGCATCAAATAACAGTGCTCAGTTTGTCTTTGCTACACTATTTCTTCACCCATTTCTCAATCTCTAAAGAACCTCCTCTAACTAGGCTATAAAGTCCTGGAGGCCAGGGAGGTCACTGTAAGAAGACACTTACCTTGAGCTTTGCGATCTGCCCCACGACAGAGCCTACCGCACCTGCTGCAGCACTGACCATCACTGTGTCCCCACTCTTCGCACCACAGATTTCCAGTAGGCCAAAGTAGGCCGTTAGACTAAGGGAAAAAAATCAGTCTTTATATTTGGTTTTTTCCCTCTTTTCTCCACTCTCTTTTTTACTCCCTCCCTATCTATCCCAGGCTATCTATCTATCTATCTATCTATCTATCTATCTATCTATCTATCTATCTATCTATCTATCTATCTATCTGTCCTTCTTATCTAGCCCAAGGTAGCCTTAAACTCAAGACCCAATTACTGCAGGGTCCCAAGTGCTGATATTACAGACAAGTGCTGCCACACCTCCCTCACCCTCTCTCTTTTCTTTTCTTTATTTGTCCATCATGAGGCTTGAACTCTGGGTCTGGGCACTGTCCATGAGCTTTTCTGCTCAAAGCTAGCATTTTATTACTTTAAGCCACAGCACCATTTCCGGTTTTCTGGTGGTTAACTGGAGATAAGAGTCTCACAGCCTTTAAGCCCAAGCTGGCTTTGAACCATAATCCTCAGATTTCAGTCTCCTGAGTAGCTAGGATGACAGGTATGAGCCACCAGAGCCTGGCTGTATTTCTTATATAAGCCTTGAAGGTCTTCTCAGTAGCTCAGGGCCATCGGTCCCAGTAAAAGATTTGAAAAACAAACAACAACATAGGAAGTGAGCATTTCCAGCCTAAATGGTCCACTTTCTGTTTCCAGTAGGAATAAAGGTAATATGTTCTAGGAAGAGGACAGAGAATTGGTTGGAAAGGGTGCTTTCTCTCCATTCCAGGTCAGATCCCTGTTGTACAAAGATGGATTTCCCCTTCAACATTGAGGATCTACACGGAGAGCTTGTGCCATTCTCTATGTAAGCCCTAGGAGATAGTTAGCTTTGTGGAGAAGGTATCCATGTTATCCCAGTCCTTACCCATAGATACAGTGCTATGATATGTCCAGATATGAGCGGTCAGAGAGAGCATAACACAGAGGAATAGAGGGACTGTGGAAATTCCCTTATGTTGCCTTAAGTGGGATGCTGATATTAGTCTGCAGGGAAAGAGTCACTGAGTGCACAAAGATACAGTACAGGCAGTACTCCTGGGAACTTAGTGACCCACAGTAAATCTCAGTGGACAGAAACTTGGAAAGGGATGGGGAGGAGAAGTTATACCCACACAGCTCAAGTTCAGGAATGTTGTAACATATTCCCCTTCTATCAGCCCTTGGAACTTTGCCTCAACTAGAAAAAAAGGACAGGGGCTGGGAAGGTGGCTCAGCGGTAGAGTGCATGCCTTGCAAGCATGAGGCCCTGGGTTTGATTCCTCAGCACCACATAAACAGAAAAAGTCGGAAGTGGCGCTGTGGCTCCAGTGGTAGAGCGCTAGCCTTGAGCTGAAGAGCTGAGGGACAGCGCCCAGACCCAGAGTTCAGGCCCCATGACCAGCAAAAAAAAAAAAAAAAGAAAAAAAAAAGGATACACTGTGTTTTCAATCCAAATAAACATGGGAAATCACTGCACCAGACTGAAGCATTCTTTTACTATACCATCCAAATGAGAGCTTGAAATGAAATGAAGTTCAGTAATAGAAAAATTTTAAGTTTGGATTTCAGACTCCTGAGTGGCTTGGATTACAGGTGTGAGCCACCAGTGCCAGGCCCCATCTCCATTCTTAAATTATGTGAGACTGTACTTAATTTTCTCTTAACCTGGTGTTTTTAAAAAGATGAGTACGGCATCATGTTCTTCAGAATTCCATTAATGTTCATTAAAAATTTAGCATCTCAAGTCCCAAATTCAACTCCATTTATAGTCTAAAGCAGAATTCCTAACCTTTTTTTTTTTTTTAAGATGGGGTCTTCCTGTGTGGTCCAAATTAGTTTACTCCATCACACTTTGCCTAAAGCACAAAGCAATGGAGTCAGCAGACCATAAACTAAGAAGTCTCGAGTCAAAATAAACCTTTTTTCCTTTTAAAACTGCTTCCCTCAGGTATCTGTCAGAGTGATGAGCAACTGGCTAATCCAACATCTAGGTGAGATCAGATGGTATTTGTCTTTCTCTGCCTGACTTACTTTACTTAATGTCTTCCAGTTCATCTATGTTTTTGTGTCAGCAATTCTTTCTTTCTAAAAGCTCTATCTTTCTATCTCATACATATGTACATATGGGTATATATACATGTATGTGTATATATATAGTCTATTGTGTATATTATGTATATAATGGAGGTGTAACCATCCTTTCTTTATCCATTTATCCACTGATGAACTCTTAGGTTGATGTTCTTCTCTTCTCAATCCTACCATCTTCTCTTAGACCCATAATACCTCAAGCCTCTTCTTGACCAAGGTCCAAACAAACCATTTTGGAAAACTAGTATGTCAGGTATTTAAGCAAATACATCCAAGAAACTCACCCTGGCATGCCCACGGTGCCCAGAGCCAAAGACAGCGGTACTGTATCTGGCCATTCTGCTAGCAGCTTTTGCAACTTTTTCCCATCAGAAATGGAGTGTGTTGTCCAGCCCAAGAAACCCAGGACAATAGTTCCTGTCGGAAAGGCTGAGTTTTTACTTTCCACAACTCTGAAAGATAAAGCACATTAAGATCTGTGACTCACCAGGGCACTAGTGGCTCAAGCCTTCAATCCTAGCTACTCAGGAGGCCGAGAAGACCTGAGTCTCTTCTTCCCTTATGTTGGAGTCAGGCTGTTATGTGGTTCATTTTCAAAAAGGGCATTTGGTTTGATAGTCCCTGGCTGATACTCTGCCATCTCTCTCCATCTTAATAGCCACTGGTACAGGGCTATTCAAGAATACTCTCGATGGTTCCAGCACCCTCACCTGGTCCACTTCTCTTCTTTTTAAGCAAAAGGCTTCTATTCTCTGGTTCAAGGTATCAGCCTTGAACCTCTCTCTCTCTCCATAATAAGCACCCAGGGCTTCACACTTGCTAGATATACTTGAACCATGTGTCTGGACCATTCATGGTCCTGTCTTCTCCCTCTCTCCTTACTTGTCTATCGCTCCACCACCTGCAGCAGCCTGCCTCCCACCCCCACTGCTTTCCTCATTGCCAAATCCAGTGGCTGTTCTTTAAAAATTATACTCTGCTCAATCCTGTGGGTCTCCCAGGACTCTTTCCCTGCCAGCTCCCCTGGAGACTCATGTCTCCTGGCTTTCTCTCTCTCTCTAAGCTGCCCCATTGCTGCTTCTTTAATAATTCCTTTTCTTTTACTTTCTCCCACTCTTATCATTCTTTACTGTTTTCTCCCTGTCCCCCATCAAAATACCATATTTATTCTAGGAAACTCAAAACATAAAATAAAACTATCAGGCTGGGAATTTAACTTGGTGGTAGAGCTCTTGCCTAGAATGCTTCAGGTCCTAGGTTCAAACCTCAGCATTGTAAAAAAAAAAAACCCTCAGCACTGTAAAAAATAAAGAAATATTTGTAAGTAAACTAGTTTAACAAAAGTAAAATAAAATAAAATGATCAGTTATAGCATTATAGCACAAAGATAACTGCTAGTACTTTGGTGTGGTTTATGGCAATCTTAGCATTTAAAAAAAGCATATTGTGCCGGGTGTCAGTGGCTCACGCCTGTCATCCTAGCTACTCAGGAGGCTGAGATCTGAGGATGGTGGTTCAAAGCCAGCCCGGGCAGGAAAGACCATGAGACTCTAATCTCCAATAAACCACTCAGAAAACTGGAAGTGGTGCTGAGGTACAGCGCCCAGGCTCAGAGTTCACGCCCCATGACAGGAAAAAAAAAACATACACACAAAAAAAATTAAAAAATAAAAATGCATATTGTATGTTTACTTGATTGAAATGGTTTTGTAATTTTGTTTTTCTCTCAAATTATATGAGTCTATACCATTAACTCTTGTTTTCCATGTTAGCAACAATCCTTCTAAAACTATAGAGCTTTAAAAACCTCAAAAATTTAATGATTCTCCTATCATTTGATTATTTCTAGTATCTTTCCTAATACAAATTACACTTTCATTAAAATTTTAAATGTTTACTGTTTCCTTAAACTATAGTTCTATAATTACTAGATAAAAGAGTATAATGATATTTGTACTTGTGCTATACATTGTCAGGCTCCTTTCTAGAAAGTTGTAGAAACTCTTTAAATAAGCATATCATCGTATCATCTCCAAAATCAGCAACGGTATTTTAAAAATCTTTGCCAGTTCAGCAAACAAATACGTTTGTTTCTTTGATTATTAAATAACATACACAACAATTTACAGTGATAAAAAGATGAAATGTGTTTGTGGGAGTAAACCTAGCACTTGGGGAGAAGTACCAGGAAGATACCAGTTTTCTCACAGTGAGTCTGTAAATTCCTGAAATCCCAATGAAAATCAGAATAGGATTTTAACCAATGGTATTATGATAGTCACTTAGAATTAAACATCACTCCTTTTTCAACACAAATACTAAATGACTAAACTTTTTTATTTCCACTTTTTTTGAGACAGGGTCTTACTATGTAGGCCAGGCTGGCCTTGAATTCATGATCCTTCTACCTTAATGTTCCCCCCATGTACCCCATTAGGGCTGGGATAACAGGCTACTTGAAAATTTCAATCAATGTTTGGGGACTGGAGAAAGACCATTAAAGACTCAAATATTCTCCATCCTTAACATACAAGAAATCTTTGCAGATCAAAGACAGAAAGTCATAAAGAAGGTCAAAAGATATAAATATAATTGATCAGAAAATTGATTATTAACTTAGAGAAAGTTCAGCCGTCTATCCATCTCAGATTGCCAAATCTGATAGCAAACAGTGAGCACAGATCAAAAGAAGCAGGTGCTTTTGTTCTAGTGCAGGGAGCAGGAACTCATACCATCTTTTTTTTTTTTTGGTAGTGGCAGGGATTCAATTTAGAGATCCACACTTGTTCAGTGGCTTTACCACTGGAGCCCCCTAGCCTTTCTTTTTTCTTTCGGTTTTAGTTAGTTTTAGAATACAATCTCCCATTTTTTCGTGGGGCAGGCTGAATCATAACCATTCTATTTATAGTTCCCATGTAACCAGAATGGAGGGTACAATAGCCAGCTCTTGGTTGAGATGGAAATTTATGAACTTTTTGCTTAGGCTAGCCTTGAACCATGATTTCTACCTCCCAAGTAGCTAGGATTATAAACATAAGCTATTCTTCCAGGGCCTCACACTTGTGTGTGTGTGTGTGTGTGTGTGTGTGTGTGTGTATGCGCACTCCAGTAGGGAGGTTTGAACTTAAGGCCTGGGCATTGTCCTTTAGCTTTTTTCTCTCAAGACTAGTGCTTGAACCACTTGAGCTATAGCTCCACTTGTGGCTTTTTGGTGAATAATAGGAGTTAAGAAGCTGGGCACCAGTGGCTCACACCTGTAATTGTAGCTACTGAGGAGACTGAGACCTGAGGGTCACAGTTCAAAGCCAGCCCAGATAAGGAAAGTCCCTGAGACTCTTTATCTCCAATGAACCACCAGAAAACCGCAAGTGGCGCTGTGGCTCAAGTGGTAGAGTGCTTTCCTTGAGCTGAAGAGCTCAGGGACAGTGTCCAGGCCCAGAGTTCAAGCCCTATAACCGACAAACAAAAACATAGGAGGTAAGAAACTTTCCTGCCAGGGCTGGCTTCAAATTGCAATCTTCCTATCTCAGTTTCCTAAGTAGCTAGGATTAATTCCTCCCTTGAAGTTGCTTCTCTCAGGCACTAACCCACCATCCTTCCTCCTTCCCTTTCAGGAAGTAGAGCAGGATTTCCCAGCTGCCCCTAGTATCAAACAGTGAGTGGACGGTCCAGGCTAACAGACTTGTAGACGCAATGGACAAAGCTGGAACGCAGCAGGAAGTGAAGGGGCTGCATTTTACAAGTCTTGGTAGCGGCATAAAGGATTACCTGGCCACCTGTTCTCCCATCATCATGTCACCCTCCTTCAATCTTTTGGCCGCCACTCTGAAAAAAAAAAAAAATCTGTTCTTATTAAGTTCATCTTGGAAAAGCTGTCCGAATTCTAAAAGTTCAGTTGGCTGTTGGAGAAGATGAGAAACTTTCACATAGGGTCTAACACACAGTACAGGAACTTTTGGGAGGGAAATAATACCTCATGTAAGGATCCACAGAAAGGAACAATGCTTCAAGCAGGACCTCTGCAAAACAAAGCATTCCACGAGCAATTAGAAACTACAGGCCTAGTGCCTATGCTGTTTTCCTGTGCTGTGGTTTTTTGTTTGTTTGTTTGTCAGTCGTGGGGCCTGAACTCTGGGCCTGGGTGCTGTCCCTCAGCTCTTTAGCTCAAGGCTAGCACTCTACCACTTGAGCCACAGCCCCACTTCTGACTTTTTCTGCTTATGTGGTGCTGAGGAATTGAACCCAAGGGCCTCATGCATGCAAGGCAAGTGCTCTATCACTGAGACACCTTCGCAGGCCTCCTGTGCTGTTTTTGAATCTAACTAAACAGATCCCTAACCTCCCCCCACAACAAAACAAAACAGGGCCCAAGGAGCAAACCTAGGACTTTGTGTGTGCCAGACAACAAGTCTACCACTAACTATTCCCTAGTCCCTCATCTATCTTTTTATGGAAGAGACAGGAAAAAGATAAGAAGGGCTCTTAGGAGGCAGGATAAGATGGCAGATTAAAAGCTTCCTTTGTTTGATGAAGGATTGTTTTAAATGTTTATATGCTAGCCTTGAGAGAAAAAGCTAAGAGACCATGCCAAGGCCCTGAGTTGAAACACCATTAAAGAACCTCCCCAAAAAACTGCAAGAAGGATTAAAAAATAGGATACGTGAGAAACGGACAGTATAGAATGATAGAGGAGGTGAGTATGATTAAAATATATTATATTCATGAATATAGAAGTATCAGAATAAATTCCCTCACACTGTACTATTAATATATGCTAAAAAAGAAAGGAAGGAAAAAAAAGAGAGAGACAGGTTCCAGTGGCTCATGCCTATAATCCTAGTTACAGCCACCCAAGAGACTGAGACCTAAAGATTGCAATTCAAAGCCAGCCAGGTCAGAAGAATCTGAAAGACTAGCTCCACTTAACTAGCAAAACGCTAGACTAGAGATATGGCTCAGTGGTAGAGCACTAGCCATAAGCAAGAAACCCAACAATCAACTGAAGCCCCATGTTTCAAGAATGAGAACCAGCACAAGAATGAGAGAGAAGAAGAGGAAGAGGAAGGGAAGGAGAGAAGGAGGGAGGGAAAAAGGGAGGGAGAGAGGGAAGAAGGGAAGGAGGGAAGATGAGAGAGAGAAAAAGAGAGAAAGTTCTCACATTTGGCCCAGCCCAGTTAACAATGATAATAATAATAACAACAACAATAATATCACTTACATTGCTCTATATGATTTACTTCATTTGATACTGTCAGCCATTGTTTCTGATGTTTTTAAGTTCAGGCTATGTTACTGGTCAGGGCCACATTTTGTAACCACCTTGCTGCAGCGCTCCCAGTGGCTTTCCTTACTAACTCCAGTTACAGAACAAAAAGGCATGCGCTTTGCTTTAGTGAACCTCATGCATACATTTTCCAGAATTTTGATCCCAAGTCTGAGCCATCAAAATTTAACCATGATTGCTCACTTTGCTACATTACTTGACTGTGTCCCCTTTTCTAGAAAGCTCACCTAACTATAAGCACTTCTTCTAGACACTCTGATAGTCTGAGCCGTATGCATGTGCTGGCGGTGCTTACCTCAATGATGAGCAGGGCAGAGAGAACATCCTCCATCCGCTCAAAGCCCAGGAGGCCAATGCTCCCAAGCATGGATTTTGGTTATTGAAGAATGCAGAGGGATCTTCTAGTCTGACATCAAGGCCTGGCAGATGGCAAAATACCACCTTCCCGGGGGATTGGCTCCCTGGCTGCTTCCCATCAAGAAATGCATTTGCAGCAGTGGAGGAGGTAGGTCAGTGGAAGAGGAAGGGCTTGCCTGGTACGCTCTGGGTTCAACCTTCAGTACCCACCACACAAAGCAGAGGAAAGGGAGGGGAGAGGTGGGGAGAGAAAAGGACAGGAGGGAAGGGGAGGGGGAGAGATGGGAAGGAAAAGGAGGAGAGGGAAAGGAGAATTTCCTAGGGGAATGTGACTTACTTTGACCAATGGGATATTAGTACACATAAAGACAAGTAGAGGCTTGAAAAGTCCGAGTACCCTGAAGCTTGCCAACTCAGGCCATTCTAGATCCATGATCCATTGTGAGAAAACAGCTCTAAGTAGCTTGCCCAAGAGGCCTCCCCAGAGGAACTGAGGCCTGCACCGCAGCAGAAAGCCTGCTGTATCATGTACATCAGTGACACCTATTTCCCCTCCCATCTGGCTTCTTGAGAGTCTCACTATGTAAGTCCAGGCTGGACCCAAACTCATCCTCCTCCTAGCTCTAATTTGAACTATGAAAGTGTTAAAGACCCATTGTGTGTGTGTGTATGTGTGTGTGTGTGTGTATGTGTGTGTGTGTGTGTGTGTGTCCATAACTGGACTTGAACTCAGGGCCCAGGCACTGTTTGTGAGCTTTTTTGCTCAAGGCTAATACTCTACCACTTAAACCACAGCTTGGGGGGGACAGTTAATTGGAGATAAGAGTCTCATGGACTTTCCTATCTGGGCTGGCTTTGAACTGTGATCCTCAGGTCTCAGCCTGCTGAGTAAGTAGTATTATAGGTGGGAGCCATCAATACCTGGCTTTGTGTGTGTGTGTGTGTGTGTGTGTGTGTGTGTGATACCAAAGGACTTTCTGCTCTTTTAGTTGAGCCATGCCCTCAACCCTTCTTACTTTCTCTAGCTGGGGGATAGTGCTATGCATTTACACGCTGGGCTAGACCACAATCCTAGTTACACTTCCCCCGCATAGCTGGGATAACAGGCATGAGCCACCATATCCAGCTATTGGTTGAGATGGGATCTCTTAAACTTTCTGCCCAGGCTGTCCTTCAACTGTGATCCTCCTAATCTCAGCCTCCAGAGTATCTAGGATTACAGGCATGAGCCAACACTCCCAGAGCAAGCCTATTCTAAAACAACCATTTCACCCAGATAAGGCCTACATAATAGTCACTCAGAAGAGCCCTGCCTGAACTGCCAACCCCCAGAATTGTGATCTAATAAATACTTGTTGAAGCTATCAGATTTGGGGTAATATGTTATATAACAAAGGCGAAGTGAAATAGTCTCTTTCACCTCTGAAATCCTGAGTGTGGCTCACCTCCATTTTTTAAGGGTGGGAGCTCAGTCGTCTTCAGCTGGAAGTTACTATCTGTAGGGTGACCTTCGAAGTGCTTCTTCAGCGTCCAGCTCTTAGCCTGCACCATTCTGAGTGCCTAGAACACAGTAGACGTGTGAGCACACAGAGGCCAGATGCTTACAGTTCTGGAGCCCCCTGCACTAGCCCAGAGAACATAACATTGCTACAGTATCATTAACGCCTACCATATCCATTTTTACTAGTACAATTAATTATACAAAGCAATGGGTTTCATTTAATAATTTCATATATACATACACAAATATATATTTGAATATATATATGCATATATATATATATATATATATAAATGATGCTTTGATTTTGTCCACCCTTTCAAGATCCTCCCTTCCCTCCCCTCATCCACTTCCTCTTCTGGAATAGTACCCTGGCTGTCATTCTCCCCTCTCCCCCCACACATACACCTAGATTCCACATATGAGAAAACATGTGATGTGATATTTGTCTTTGTAGGCTTAGCTCATTTCACTCAACCTAATGATCTCCAGTTTCACCTATTTTACTCCAAATGTTCTTTATGGCTTGTTATAAATAAGCATTGATATGCACATATATATATATATGGCCAGTTATGGGGCTTGAACTCTGACCTGGGCACTGTCCCTGAGCTCCTTTTGCTTAAGGTTAAAACTCTGCCACTTGAGCCACAAGGCCACTTCTAGCTTTTTCTGTGATTAAATGGAGATAAGAGTCTCAAGGACTTTGCTGCCAGAGCTGGCTTCAAACTGCGATCTTTGTATCTCAGCCTCCTGGGTAGCTAGGATTACAGGCGTGAGTCAACAGCACCCAGTTAATTCATTTTCTGGGCTGTGTTAGCTAAGCATTTCATATATATAAGCTCACATTATCCCTCAAATTTTGCCATTACTACATTTTCCTCATTCATTCATTCATGCATTGAAGGACACCTATGTGGATTCCATAGCCTGGCTGTTATGCATAGTGCCACAATAAGCATGGTTGTAAGGGTATCTTATTGTATGCTGACACAGATTGTATGGTAGTTCTACCATACAATAGTTTTTAGCTTTATGAGGGAACTTCTGTACTTATTTCCATTTTGGCTGGACTAATTTATACTCCCACCAATGGTGTACAAACAAGGGTTCCTCCCCCCAGCCCCCATCCTCCCAAGCATCCTTTACTTTTTCTACTCTGGATGACAGCCATTCTGACTGAAGAGAGATGGAATCTCGGGGCCATTCTGATTTACATTTCTCTGATAGTTAGAGATGTGGGACATCTTTTCATGGAATTACTAGCCATTTGTATTTCTTCTGAGAATTACCTGTCCAGTTCATTTCCCCATTTACTAGTTGTCGTTTTGGCATTAAATGTTGAATTCTTTGTATTTTCTAAATATTAATCTCTCTCAGTCGAACAGCTGACAAAGATATTCTCTCTGAAGTTGTCTTTTCCCTTTGGTACTTGTTTCCTTTGCTGTGCAGAGCTTTTTAATTTAATGCAATTTCACCTGTCAATTCTTCCTATTATTTCCTGAGCTATTTCCTCAAGTTCAAGCCAGGAAGTTATTATCCTGCTTCAATCTTAAATCGTTTTCCCATAAGTGGTTTCCAAGTTTTAGGTCTTGCCTTCAAGTCAACTACACTACAACTACTCATTGTGCTTCAGATGCTCAGCTAAATGTATGATTTCTCTTTATTCCCAGAACTTTCCTAAACCATAGGCATATTATCATTGCTAATATACAGATGAGGAAACTTAGATGTGAAGATGCACCCCCCCACACACACACACAAGGTAAAAGAAAATGCAACCCAGCACAGAAGTTCTTCCCAGGCACCACTTAGACTAGAATTTCTCTAGAATACTGAACTGGACGTGCAAATATTCCCAGTTTCTCGCCTCTCATGAAGTAGATCCTCAGAAGAAAAAGTCAAACACAGAGAACCAAAGGAAAGTCGGGACATCTCTCTCCTTCGGAAAGCCACCCATCCCATCTTCAGGCAGCCGCAGGAACGCTCGCGGGCCACGGGGTGGCGCCGCCGCTCCACCTCTTCCGCGGGAGCCAAGGCTCGGGATTGGGCAACCAGACGGAAATCGAGGGCTGAAATTTAAACCACCGGACCCAAAACGGGTCAGGACCAGGGGCCCCGGACCGTCCCCGCGCCGGGGGAATGCCAACGCCCCCCCCGGCCCCCCGGCCCCCCGGCCAGGACGGGGTGGCGGGAGCCAGTCTGCGCCGGGGGTGGGGTGGAGGGGGGCGATTGGGGATCGGCGGGGGAGGGGGACACTTCGTGGGGCGCTGGAACACCGATCGGAGCCCACTCCCTCCCCCCCAAACTTCACACTGACAATCAACTGTGGGGTCCCGGTATTTCACAACCACACGCACCTTCACGCACCATCCAGCACCGCGCGCAGTCCGCGGCGAGCAAGCGCTCCACACCGAGGCTTCCCGCCTGACCCCTCGCGACCTTTGACCAGCAATGCCACCCCCCCTCTCCCTCCCCTCCCCAGCCCCCTCCGCCTCCGCCCGCCCCGCGCCCGCGCCGGTTCGTGGCAGCTGTGGAGGTGTCCACTTGCTTTTGTCTGTCTTCCCGCCCACCCGAGGGAGGGCCCGGGGGGACCCGATCGCCGCGCTCGGCGCCGCCCGGTCCTGCTCGCCGCGCCCACCCCGCGCCCTCCCCGATTCCCACCTCGTGGTTCTCCCCGACGCCCGGGCCGCCCGTCTTCAGCGGGCAGCTCCGCCCGCCCCAGCCGCGGGTCGGAGTTTCCGCCAGAGCCCGCAGGGGACCCAGCGATCGTACGGAGCGCCCACCCGCCGCGGCCCGCAGCGCAGACCTCCGCCGGAGGGCGGAGGGCGGGCGGCTACTAACCAGACTCGAGGTTGCCCGGCGTGGACTGCGCGTCCCAGCGCCCCGCTCTTGGGTGTCTAGAGAGTGGGGCGGGGCCTCGCGGGGGCGGGGCCTCGCGGGGGCGGGGCCTCCCGCGTCCGGACGTTGGGGAGTCGCCTGTGCAGGCCAGGGTCAAGGAGTGACCCTGGATCTGAGGCACGCGTGCACGTGTGCGTACATGTGTGTGTATCTCTGTGTGCGAAGAAATACAATTAAAAACATCTCTTTTTAATGAATAATGTGAAGACCGGAGGCGTGGCTCGAGTGACAGACTGCCAGCCAGGGGCAAGAAAACCCAGCAAGAACACATAGCCTTGAATTCAGGCCCCAGCACACACACACACACACACACACACACACACACACACACACACACACACACACACACGAATAAAACGAGTTTAGTGTAGCTGATAGGAGTTAGTGGGAAAGCAGGCAGTCAAGGAATTTCGGCTTTGTACATCTCTTGCAGGCAGCAAGTGAAGCTGAGAAATCAAACCTTCCTGACCAAGAAAGTGGGGCAAGGGACTATGAAAGAAAAGGGAACAGAAAGACAGGATGGTGCCAGGACAAAAGAATGAGGAAGCAGGCAGTCAGTCCCCCCACACGCCCTGCAGATAAGCCAGACCTGTGTGACAAAAAACCGAGTCAAGGAGCTGCAAAAACAGGAAAAGCAAAAGGAGATCCATCCATCAGAGGGTGGCCAGGGAAACGCCCCATAAATACAAAAAAACGAGTGGGGCTGTGGTGGCTCATGCCTGTAATGCTACCCACACAGGGGGCTGAGCTCTGAGGATTGAGATGAGAAGCAGTTCATGACGCAATTAGCCGCCACACTCCACTTCCAGGTTTTCTAGTGGTTAACTGGTTTAAATGGTTGATAAGAATGTGACAGACTTTCCTGCCTGGGCTGGCTTTGAACCACAATCCTCAGATCTCTGCTTCCTCAGCAGCTAGGATTACAGGTATGAGCCACCAGTGCCTGGCTCATAAAGTTTTTTGAACCGATTCACCCATGACTCCCACAAACCTCTCCTCTACGATTAGTAACTCTATCCTGGACAGGGCCTTTTTCTATTTTCATTCCATTTTTAGTGTGTGCTAATCGTTCAAAGAGGTTTCACCTTGGTTTTTCACATATGCATATATATACAGTATGTACACATATATACATGTGTGTGTGTGTGTATATATATATATATGTAGCTGGTATTGGGGCTTAAAATCAGAGCCTTAATTGGTGGGGTGTTACTAAAATAAAAATCGATACATTCTACCTTTATCCTTCTTTGTGCCTAGAGTGTGAAGGTGCTGTCTGGTGGTGCAAAACAAGCCTTCTTGTGCCCATAGGAAAGAAAGCCACACACTAGAGATGGTGGCAGAGGGGGAAAGGCATCAAGGTGATTGGGTTTTCAGCTTCCTGCTTTGGCCTGTGTTTCATGGGGGCAGAAAACAGGGTGCTTTTAAAGCCATTGCAGTTTGTTTTCTGGAAGCATAGAATGCAGGCCTGACCTGGGTGTGGACAGGGCTGAGCCTTCTGCACTGTGCTCACCAGCCAGAGTTCATCGAGTCCATCTGTCTTCCAGCCCAGCAGAGGACTGGCCTGGAAAGCAGTCACCAAGTTCCCAACACCTGTGGAGGACAAGTTTCCAATGCTTACCTGGCCCACATGAAGTACATTTTAGAGAAAATCACCTGCCAACCTGCAGTGCTTGCTTCACAACTGTGCAGTCAATGGTAAAGACTAAGTGTAATGCTGGGCTATGCCCTACTCACAAGTAGCAGCCCCAAACAACTTTGCACTCTTCCTCTCTTCCATGCCCCATTTTTTCTTTTTTAAAAAACATACATATATTATGTAGTATAGTGCAATATAGGTGCATATGTATGTATATAAACATATATGTATGTGTATATATATATATGTATTTATATTTGTTGACAACCTACTGTCAACATCACATGTTTCAGGTACATCCAATATGAGAAAATATTTTAGGCTTTTAGGTATTAAAGGAGCTAATAAAGTTGCAAGTGTGAAAAGTCTTGGCACAATAAGAATTCTAGGCCCCCATAAAGGGCCGAGATCACCTCAAGTAAGTACTGACTTGACTTGAAATGGGAAGTCTCCAGAAGCTTTGGCCATCATGGGCTTGGAAGATGGCTCTGTGTGGAGCGCTTGGCTAGAACGTGCATGACCTTCGATTTGGTTCCTTGCACCATTAAAAAAGGTTTATGTAATCTGACAGAAATATGCCATGTCACAACCCACAGTATCTTGGGCAATCATCATATCTCAGTCTTTTTTAAAAATTTGTTCTTGTAAAGATGCTGTCCAGAGGGGTTACAGTTACATGAGTAAGGCAGTGAGTACATTTCTTGTCAATCATCATTACCCCTTCCCTTGTTGTTGTCCCACTAGCCCTTCCCTCCCCACCTCCCACACTCTTCCCCTCCCTACCCCCCCCAAAAGTTGTAAAGTTCTGTGGTATCATATGACTCAGTCTTAATAATTGTGGTAGATTTTAAATCATGGTAATCAAGCTAAGTCATGGCTGATAACATACCACATGTAGAGTTAGAATGTAGAACAAAGGTTCAGAACCACACATAGAGTTAGAATGTGGAAGAAAGGTTCAAGAAAAAAGATTTCCTTTGCTTTACTCTTAGGGAAAACAAAACAAAAATAATCCTACTTCATTCACTTGAGTCTTCTGACCTTAGCTGTCAGTGAGCTCTGACCCAGCTACATGAAGGAACATTTCATTTAAAGACAACACAATTGTACAACAAGAGAATGTTTCACATCAAATAATACAGATGTGTAAAGCATGGCAAACCAAAAATCCCCATAGTGTGTTTGGTTGGGATTTCTCTCCCTTTTCTATGGCAATGCATGTGGGAACCAGGCAGACTTGTCCCTCATTACAACTTCTGCTTCCTGAACTGGTGAGAGCTTTGGAAAACAGAAAACGTCTGTGATGTTGTTCTCACACCTCCAAGATACACGTAGTTAGCATGGGACACTAGTTGGAGGGAGGATGATTGCTTCTCTTAGCACACAGGGAGGCAGCCCATGTGGCTCCAACTCTGAGTATGGCAGGAGATGGCTAGCACTGGCGTCTAGCAGTTCTAGTCCCCCTAATAACCAGGAAATACGTGCTATTACAGTATTGCCTTCCTTAGAGAGGTTAAAACAGCTTAGATGAGCTTGTCAGTAACAGAGTTGTGACTGCAAATCTAGCTAGTTCTTTCCAAGCCCTACAAGCGAGGTGGGTAGTTTAGGGGAGGTTTTAGTGGTCTGACCTGAGGGAACATTACTATCAGTCCTGTTACTTCAGACACACAGATCCTCGGAGTTTCTCTGCTGTCACTCTCTCATCCTGGACTCCCATTCCATCCCCTCCTCTCACCCTCCTATCCACTCATCTGATGGCTCATGGATGGCTGGAGTTTGGGGTGGGGGCATGGAACGGAGAAGAGCTTGGAACATTTTTTTTTTTTTTTTGGTCCAGTCGTGGGGCCTGAACTCTGGGCCTGGGCGCTTTCCCTCAGCTCTTCAGCTCAAGGCTAGCGCTCTACCACTTGAGCCACAGCGCCACTTCCGGCTTTTTTTCTTTTTGCTTATATGGTGCTGAGGAATTGAACCCAGGGCCTCAGGCATACAAGGTGAGCGCTCTACCACTGAGCCACCTTCCCAGCCCTTTGGAACATTTTTGTGTGTGTGTGCTGGTCCTGAGGCTTGAACTCAAGGCCTGGACCCTGTCTCTGAACTTTGGTGCTTAATTAATACCACTTACTTTCAGCTCTTTGCTGGTTAATTGGAAATGAGAATCTCACACTTACCTGGGGCTGGCTTCAGTGATTCTCAGATCTCAGCCTCCTGAGTAGCTAGGATTATGGGCATGAGCCACCAGCATCTGTCTTGGAACATCCTTTTTAAAATAAATAAATAAATAAATGGAAGCAAGAGAGCTGGGAATGTGGCTTAGTGGTAGAGTGCTTGTCTAGCATGCATGAGGCCCTGGGTTCGATGCCACAGCACTGCATAAACAGAAAAAGCCAGAAGTGGTGCTATGGCTCAAGTGGTAAGAATGCTAGCCTTGAGCAAAAGAAGCTGAGGGACAGTGCCTAGGCCCTGAGTACAAGGACTGGTAAAAAAAAAAAAAAAAAAAAGAAGCAAGAAAGTGTGTGAAGTAATGTTTGAAAAATATTCTAAGGTTAAAAAGAAATACAACAATGAGAAGTACAAGTTGTCATGTCCAAAAACGAGCTTTACAATGTCGGTGGGGGGGGGAGGGGAGGTGGGAAGGGGGAGGAAGGAAGGAGAAGGATTGGGATTGGGGGGGGAGGGGGGAGGCTGGGAAGGGATGTGAAGGGTAAACCAAAGGAGGAGGCTGCAATGCTTGATAAGAAATGTACGCATTATCCTGCCCATGTAATTGTAACCCCTCTGCACAGTATGTTCACAAATAAAATAAAATTAAATTAAAAAAAAAGAAATACAGTTGTGTAAAAAAGATGCGCATGCAACCTTAAAGGAGATTTCATTGGCCAAATCTAGGACAATTTAAATATCACCAGAAATATTTGTGGCAACCAGGGACAAGACAATTTTGAACACCAGAATGTGGAACTCAGGTTTGGGGCACCAGGGCCTGAAATCTTCCACCAGCTTCTGGTGCCCTGGGTCCATTTTACAAGGCATTTATTGAGTAGGATACAGGGACATTTGCATTATATGCAAAAAGAAAGGTCACAATATCCTTGAAGTCACAAGCACCAGTTGAAGGATTGACTCCCGCCTTAGTCCCCCAGGTCAAGCAAGACACCAGGTGCACACAAGCAGGCTTGACCACATGCCTGTCCGCAGGCAGCTCATTCGGACCTAGGCCTGGCTGAAAGTCCCCTTACCCCAGGTGGGACATTCCATTCTGGTACCCATCCCTAGCCCCCCAGTTGTTGTTGTTTTCTTTTTTTGTTTTTTGGGTCCAGTCATGAAGCCTGAACTCTGGACCTGGGCGCGGTCCCTCAGCTCTTCAGCTCAAGGC